AACAAAAAGGTCCTAACTTTATTGTACACTTCACCCATCTATCTGAATCAGTTGCAGCCCTTGAAAAGAAAAAATAAGAAACCATGACAAATTTCCAATACAGGTTGCTTTCATTTTTCCATGTTTTAGGCAACACTTTATCAAGTCATGCTTACATCTATATGCAGACAACACTGACACAATCCAGCAAGTGGCAACCATTGGCCAAATTGGCAATTAATACCCAGACTACATACGATCTGATTAGCTGACTTAATCATGTTATTTAATCATTTGACCACATCAATTACCATGTGATCACATTAACAAATAATATCATTTAATTTTATTAAAAATTAAGGAATCATATCATGTGATCATTTATAATTAATATAATACTTATCAAAATTTATTGATTATTATAAATATCATTTTAAATTTTATTTTTCTAATAAGTTAATTTTAATTTATAATTTACGTAAATTTAGTGAATTTCAATTCGAGAATTTAAATTTTAATAAAGGCCAATTGTTTTTAGTTAATCACCGATCAGGATGGACAGGTATTTTCTCTAACATCAAACGGGGATGTAGCTCAAATGGTAGAGCGCTCGCTTTGCATGCGAGAGGCACGGGGTTCGATCCCCCGCATCTCCATATTTTTTACTCTTTTCGCAAAACCAATGAAAATTGGGCTGACGTTTAACCATTAATGAAACTATCGGAATCAAAGACCCAACCCTGCTTACATGGTTGAGGTGGCCTTTAAATAGTGGGCCTAGAGCCCAAGTCTTATACTTTTTGTTGGACCCCATTTATCCAATAAATAGCCCATATCACTCAAAATGATTTTACTTCAAGATCCATTAAGAAAACACACAATGAAACTACACTACATGACGTAAAATTTTGTGCAAATTATTATTAACATCCCTTCTCCTATAGTTCACAAAATATAAACCAGCAATTAATGGTACTTGTCCTTCAATACTTTTATAGATAATTTAAGTTGTTTTTTTTTTAAAAAAAAAAAACGGTAAACTCTAATTACGACTTGTGTGGTTTCAACTTTTTTCACATAACATTCTGCATTTTCTTTGTCTGTGGATAACTTTCATTCTCACAAGAGTTAAGTTGTTAATTTTTTTTCCGTAAAATTATCAAAATATATTATTAATTTAAAATTAATCTAATCTCTTACAAAAATAAAAGTTATCCACATCATGTTAATTGAAAAAAATTTAAATTATGTTTTTTGGAAAAAAAAAATATTGTGAGAACAAATTGAAATCACAAGAAATGTAGGTGGAATTTGTCCAAAAAAATTAAAATAAATGTAAGAATATTTAGAAATATATCCCTTTTAATTTCCTCGAGGAGAAAATGACAACATTGCTCATTGATGCATTTCTTAAAATCTCTTTTATAATGTTTAGAAGGGAAATGATTGGTTAAAACATTTCTATGTTCCAACAGAATGGGATTTCCTAGTTCTCATCTCATACATTTTGTATCTTGTGATCTTTAATAATGTTAGATTACTTTATAAATTCAGTTCGTGTTAGTATTATTTTTATGTTAATTTCCAATACCTAAAGAAAACTGATGAAGATTTTTCTATTCACCTGAAAGCTACCATTAGATTGAAAAGAAAGAGCAGAAGCATCCAATAACGAGATGGAGGACCAGTTCTAGCCACTCTGTCAAACATTGTAGTGGTTGATCTGGGACTACAAATTTAGGATAGTATGTTGTTTTCAGCAGGAACATGCCCACTAGGCACCCATCCTTTCATATTCTTCTCCCCTTGACTAAGTAAAAAGAATCTGCCATCACCCCAGCAGATGCTGCTCATTCTTCTTCACATCATTGTCACTTTCTCGAGAAAAAAAGAAAGATTCAAGGAAAATATGGGAACCAACGGATAAAGACAGCGTCTCTACACGATGCATGTGGTCACAAATTCACGACCTCCACTGCAATAGAGCGCAATGCATGTGATCACAGATACGGCCAGACCTGAGAGAATGAATGATGATGATGATGATGGTGATGCTCTCCTCCCACCCGCAGGCCCAGCACCCCACTTTCCTTTGTTTAACCTATTTGTGGAGAATCTCCATCATCGCACCACAAAGGCCTAGAGCTGTCTTCCACGTGTCCCTTTCCATCCACGTCTCCCTCCTCGTGTCCTCCCCGGATGTTCCTGTGGGTGGACAGGGATTCGATCATCTGCAACCGGGATGTCTCCGGCATGTTTTCAGGATCCTGCTGCATGCAGGAAGGTTTTGGTTTCTAACAGGACAAATCTTTGGCAAAGTGGCAATGAGGTAAATATCATGCAGCCATTGCTTCTAGTTCTAGCCAATGATATTTTCCCATATATATATATATATATATATATCTAGGACCAAGCATGATCCCCACACTAATGCCAAGCAGTTTTCTTGGGTTTTGTCCTCTTGAAATTCCCAAGCAGAAAAGGTTGGATAATTTCTTGACAGTATAAAATTTTGTTATGAAATGAAACAAGGTTGCATGCATGGCCCAATGTTGGACATTGCCAAGGAAATGCAACTGGGGCAGTTGATGATATGCTGGAGACTTTTCTTTTTCTTTTTGTTTCATTAACTAATTTGAAACATCAAAGAATTTGACTAATAGGAATAATAATCGATACGGTATTTGTTAATTTTGAGATACTCGAATCTAAATCGAATTAAAATTTAATTATTTAATAATTTACCCTAACATAATTAAAAATTAATACTAAATATTCGTATTCGAATTTGATTATAAATATTTAAAAAAATTCAACACAAAACAAAAATAAATTTAAAATAATTTTTTATATATTATTAATAAAAATTAAATTAATAAATTAAAATTAATACTTAAAAAAAATTAAAGTTTAAATTTAGGTTTTGGGTTTAGGGTTTAGGGTAGTATAAGGTATCCGATTTTAAAGTACTTACTGTTAGGCTAGTTTGGATTAGATTTGTTTATCTCCATAATTACTTGGAGTGATAATCACTTGCTTCATCAAGACTTATAATTAGAATAATTCAGATTTGTTTTATTGTTTCATGTACTAACTTTTTTATATTTTTTACATCTCATAGTGTTTTTATATTAAAATTTTCATGTAATAAGTAAAATCATACTAGCACTTTATTATTATTATTAGAATAGATTATTATTTCCTTTTTTATTCTACATTTTAACTATGCAAAGTTATGATAAAACAAAGTAATAAGTAATAAAAAGCAAAACTATATTTGATTAGAAATAATCATATAATTAAAAAAATTATTTTACTGATTTATTGTATAATTATTTTCAGTTTTTATGTAAAACTAAAATCCTATATTATTCTTTATATCAATGACCCATAAAAGATGTTACTTCTTTGATTAGAAGAAAGCCAAATGTATGATGAAGATGTTGGATTTGGGTCATTTTCAAGAACTAAGTCTTTGCTTCTTTTCTTAAACCATACGGGTTTAATTTGTAGAGAAAATTGGGACACCATGGCCCATGCAAGTGCCGACCCTACCTGACTCAATTTACTCGCCACATCATATTAGGTACATTTCTTCTTCTATAAGGTTAGTAGGGAAAAATTGTTTTTATATAGACCCTTCATATTATGTTATTTATACGCATAACCATTCATATTAACCGAAATTAACAATTTTGTCCATGAAAGAATTCCTTCTCTTAAATTATGATATTTATACGCACAACTATTAATATTAACCGAAATTTGCAATTTTTTCCACATCGGAATTTCTCATGGACATAAAATAAAACTGTAAAAGCTAGATTGGATTCAATAAAAAAATAAAAATTTGTTTAATTTTTTTAAAATAATTTAAAGTTTTTTTAATTATAATTAAGAGTATATTAGTGAAATGTAGTGGAGAAAGTCATGTTTAATGCCAAAACAAGCAAGAAGGGTCAATGAACCATGGACCAAAATAGCATTAAATGCCTTATTTTGACAAATATATATATATATATATATATACATTGTTTGATCCTTGAATAATGCTAGAAATCACGAACCTTAGTCATACTTTTCTTAACCTTGGGTTTAACTTGTATTTATTTATTTTTGGTTTAATTAATTAAGAAAATTAAAAGAGAAAAGGTAGAGCCGGCTAGAATGGAACTTGGACCAACAAAGGGCCCCAGCCCTTTGGGAGTCAAAGATGGGAGGGAAGCCCGCCTCCTGGCTCAGACGTGGGGGTGGGCCCCTTCCATTTAACTTCTTAATTTTGTTAATCTGAGTAATTTATATTAATTGTTATTTGATCGGATTAAGTAAAATTAAAATATTTTTTAATTGAATTTTAATAAATTTTGGGTTGTGAAATTATTAATTTTCATAGGTTCAAATAGAGGCCGGACTTATTCTATCATAACTAATAATTTTTTATATTAAAATTTAATTATATATATTATTTTTTATTCATATTTTTTATAATTAATGTAATACTTATTAAAATTTATTAATTATTTAAATTATAATTTTAAGTTATAATTATTTTTATCAATTAATTTTAATTATTAATTCAGTTTTCTATTAATAATATACATAAAAATTGATTTTAATAAAATATTTATCGAATAGTTTTTAAAATATTCAAGTAGGAGTTTATAAATGATAATTTCAAAATTTATTCAAATATTTATAAGATTTTAATACTGTATTAAATTATATAATTAAGAACAAAATATATTACTAGTTATTTTTAAAATATTTATATTTGAAATTTATTATTGATTAAAATACCTAAATATTATAAATATTGGAATAATGATATCAATTATTCAAATATTACGTGTTAACTACTTGAACATGCCCCCATTGGGAATATCCGAATATCAAAAACCAAAACCCTTTCTTTTCTGTTTCCAGCAAGTCTCTTTAGCGTGTCGAAGTAGGACCCATGATGACGTCATTTCCCGCTTCTACTATAAATAAGCCTCTGCGCCCTTCCCTTTGTTTTCAGATTCGCAACAAATTCCCTTCTTTTCCCGGAATTCTCTCTTCAAAAAATCTTTCAAAACCGAACTTTCTCTGACCTTCCAACCACAGAATCCAAACGAACGCTAAAGAGCGAAAAGAGGGAAACCCCCAGAGAAAGAAAGAAAGAAAGAAAATGGTGAGAGAAATTGAATCGGAGAAGAAGAGCTCAGAAACTATCAAGTTTCTTTGCAGTTACGGCGGCAAGATTCTTCCACGTTCTAGCGACGGCAAGCTCCGTTACGTCGGCGGACTCACCAGAGTTCTCTCCGTCGATCGTTCCATTTCGTTTACAGGTTCGTTTTGTGTTTCAAAGAATCTTTTTTTTTAGTTTTTTTGTTTTATTTATTATTTTTAATTGAAAAGAGTGTTGAATATTTTGTTTTGTTACAGAGCTGATGGTGAAACTCGTTGAGTTTTGTGGATATTCTGTAACGTTGAGGTGTCAGTTGCCGAACGGCGATTTAGATACTTTAATTTCGATAAAGTCGGACGAGGATTTGAGGAACATAATTGATGAGTACGATAGAGCGGCTCCGTCGAAGATCCGAGCAATCCTTTCACAGCCGAAGTCGCTCAAGCAAATCTCTCCCCCTCCGTCGAATACTTCCAGCGTCAACTTTTCCTCTTCCACGTCAGCCGATTCCGATCCCCCGGCGAAGGCCGTATTCCGTGGCCGGAGTGTTTCTCCGCCACGGCCGATGGCATATCCCGTTAGAGCTTCTTATTATCCCTGCTACCTGCAGCAGAACCCTAGAGTTTTCTTTACCGCTCCTCATTCTAATTACTATTGCCGGCATTGAAACCAGAGATTCCGGGACGGAAGAATGACTCTACAGCCCCTCAGTTGGAGGCTTACAGAACAAATATACCATATAGACGACGGCCATAAAAATACCGTAAAATTGAAAAAAAAAAAAGAAAATTAGTTGATTAGTCGAACTTTGAAACTTTTATTTCAAAGTGCGTTTGGATTGTAAAGTGAGAATCGAGAAGTAAATTTTTTTCGTAATTGATGAATCTTTTGAGATTTTCTTCTTCCCCAAAATTTCCCAGCAATTAGCATGATTTTTCCACCGTTAGGGTTCTGTTAATTTATGTGCCACCGTGACGGATTGGGAAAATTCCGAGATAGACAATCACACTTTTGTCTTCTGTACCAGAGCGAAATATTTGCAGCAGTTGACACGTACGGGACTCAGTCAGTTTAGCCGCTTGACACGTGACATGACTCCAGAGTACAAACGCAGGAAGTTAATTCGTTGGTCAAAATGTCGTTTTACAATTTTTATTTAATTGAAAAGAGTTGTATAAATTATGATTTTAATTTTTCTTTTTCTTCTTTTTCAGGACAAAAGAAGGATGGGATCAGAATCATCAGGTGCGGTAAGGCGTCGTGATAATATTTGGTTAATTTTGAGATATCTTAATAACGGTGGTTAAGATACTCGATAATTTTAAAATATCTAAATTTAAATATAATTATTTTTTTATTTCAATTTGAATTTAAATCAAAATAAATTTAAGTTTTAAAATTATATGTAGAATTATTAATGAATTTGGAAGTGTGTTATATTAATTAAGTAAAATAACTTTGAAATTGAAAGTCACTGTTTATACGGGGTTTGCAGTGAGAACTCTGAAATCATTACTTGAACTCATTACTATTATTTAAATTTTATCCAAATTTAATTAAAATTTATTTTAATCATATTTAATTAGATCAGGTAATGTAAGATATTCAATTAATTCTCGTCATGGGAGGACAACTTGGAAGACTGACAAATGACGGCTGGTTGGAATTCTTTAATAAGCTTTAAACAAAGGAAATTAAGATGAAAAGAGTAGAAAACGTGTGACAGTTCCAACAATAAAAACAAAGTAAAGCTGCGTATGACTTAATCCTCCATGGGTGTGGATGGAAGAATTAGTGTGAAGAAAGAAAAAGATAGCCACCCCGTTTCGCAAGGTGGGACCGTCTGATATATTTGAATCTTCCAAATTTTGGTTATGGGGTCAAGTCTTTGTGGAACTATATTTGGCATTATACTTTGGTGAACTTGTGGGGACCCAAAGTGATTGAAACACTCAAGCAAAGGAAAGGGTAAATCTAAAAAGTCATAAGATTAACAATTTCTATGTTACTAGAATACTTAGAGTTAAACATAACATATAACCCTAAATAGTATTTTAATTTTTGATTTAATAAATTATTAGTAATAAGAGTTTATTTAATTCATAATAAAAATATAATAATTTGATTAGATATAATAAAAAAATAATTTATTTGATTTTTCTTAAATATTTTAAGAGTTTTTTAAGGTATTATGTCGTTCATATTTCATACATTGTCCTTGTATAAATTTTATACAATCAGTAAATGAAATATTACCACCCCATTAACAAATAAATTTAAAAATTGAGAACCTTAAAAAATATACTCACAATTTTAAAATTATTTATTTAAATTTTTTTAAAATTTTTTTACCTTTACACATTTATAAGGTAACAAAATATAATTAAGTGATAGTAAATGGATATCATACATTAACAAGGCATCAAATATAAACCTTTACATAAATATCGTTGCTTCCCTATGTACCCATTTTGATTTGTGAAAGTATATGTATTTGGATTCACCTTTGTGTGTGTACTATTTTAGTTAGTTCACTTTATTGGAGAAAGCCTTACATTTAACCAAACAGTCCTTACGGAAGTGGTCAGCCTTAGCTCAATAATCAATCTCTTCTTTGACTGTTGAAAGATCAAAGATTCAAAGTAGGTTGAGCCACAGACAAGGACCCCCTCCAGGGTTTGATCTTTATATGGAAATTGGGTTGCAACATGAAAATGACAACTAAACTGTCTTTTCTCTTTTGCTTTCTTTGCTCAGCCAAACGACAGAAATGGGAACAAAGATCTTTTCCTAACCTCATTTTCTCGGGCCAGGAATGATTTAGAAAGGGGAAATTGAAAATTAAAAAGGAATTGCTCTGATTGAAGCAAGTTGCAAGAAAATACATGCGCAATACGGGCTTTGTGGGAACATAACATCAAGCAATGCTACATCTCAAGTCCTATGGGCATTACAGAGCTTGTGACTCGAGTTTTCGAAGAAATGGAGGTAAAAAAACCAATGAGGCATAGTATTATTTTTTCAACCAGTTTCTTGCTCAAACTCCTCAGCCTCAGATTCCTCGGCATTGTCAGCATCATCATCGTCTGCATCATTATCATCGTCTTCCTTATCATTATCGGCGGTAGTCTTCCCAATCACAACCAGGTTTCTGTTAGTATCTCTGATTTCATTCAACTGCAAGAATCAATTACACAAGTGTCAATAAAGCAAAAGCCTGAATTTGCGAAAGTGACAGTCCCCGGCAAACATACAAAACTGCCCAAATGAACAACAGCCTCAACTAACTTCTAACGATTTGAATGAATATCATCTTCTCGCACTCGTGTTGACCAAGGTGATAATAAAATATAAGTTACTGATGTCATAAACTACACATAACCCAAAACTAGAATTCACAAAAAAAGAACAGAATGACAGCGGAGGCAGGGAAAGGTTTTCATGAATGTTATCAGTTGATTGCATTCTATCAGGAACGGAACTGATAAACATGTTTTTCACCACCTAATCCATAAACTAAATATAACCCAAATTCAGAATTTACAAAAAAAAAAAAAAAAAAAAAAACAGAACGAAAGTAGAGACGGAGAAACATTTTCATCAATGTTATCAGTTGATTGCACTCTTATCATGAAGGGAACTGACAAGCATGTTATTCACCACCTAATCCATCAAACTTTCAAGCTCTGGCATCCATGGCCAGATAGACTTCCTACCTCAACCTCACATCTCCTTCACAACAAGGCTTTCGACGTACCAGTCTAGCAATGTTAGAGGAAACAACAAGCAAGACCAAAAGTATATAAAGCCACGGTTTTTTAATGAATTTATGTGCCAAAATCCTGGATTCGATACAATATGAAGTTTCAAGCCCTTGACTGGTGGTTAGCAATAGCATATGGCTCTCGAAATCTTTCTAAGTACTCAGTACATTGAAGTTATACCGCTCCGATCGAGCAGTTGAACTCATTATACTCACTGTAATTTGTTGAAGATCTCACCCTAATCATTTAGGAAACTATCAACAATGACAAGGTTATTTCCTTACAAACTTAGACACTGATCTTAATAGCATTTGAAATTCTGTCATCAAACTTTGGAAATGTAACCAGGCAGCAACCCCGAAAATCGAAATGCTACAGCTGAATTCTTGGTCCAAAAGATCCAAAGAATTTGATTGCTAGATTTCACCATGAAAACCCATTAAGTATCACATCCACTAGATCACAATAAAGACAATTGGCTCTATCACTGTTTAAATTTCAGCAGCAAAGAGAAACTTGATGATTCACAAAAAATGTCTACTTCAGCATAAAGAATCTCTTCCAAACACAAAATCAAAGGGTCGGGTTCAAACAAACTGACTAATTTAATTAACAAATTTGACTTTTTTTTTTCTTTCTTCCTCCAAAAGATTTTGAATACTAATGCATTAGGCTTGAGCAAGAGGAAATCAAATAAACAGATGAGACACTCATTTACCCTTTTCCATGTGATCGGAGAAAACAAAAGAACATTCCTAAGTAGAAAAAATGGGGTATCGGAAAAATTTTGAAAGTACCTTTTCTTCGAGATTAGATTCTTCCATGGCGAGTAGGAGCTCTTCGTTGTGGGGTTGAGGCCATTGAGATGGAAGCAAAAACGACGTCGGAATAGTCCTCGTCGTCGATGGAAACTGCGTCATGAACGCCGGAAACTGTAACATCCTTTCTCGCTCTCGCTCTCTCTCTCTCTCTCTCGTGGAATCTCCAGATGATCAACTTCAGGGTCGGACCCGCCGGTTCAAATTTCAAATCCTCGGCCCATTTACCCCTCTCTAGCCCGACTAATTTGTCCGAAAACCTCGGCGCCTCAGACCAATTGACGATTTTAGCCTAATTTCAGCCCGTGCATTTCAATATCGGGCCGAATTAATCCCAAAGCCCATCCTCGAACCTTTTTTTATATTTATAAATTTATAATATATAAAAAATACTAAATTTGAAAAAAATTGAAGAAAAAAATTAATTAATTAATTATATATTTTTAAATATTATTTTAAATAATATTAATTTAACTTTTAAATATATAAGAATCATAATCAGAACGAATGACTTTTATTCAAATTTTTTAATATAAATATTAATAACATATTAATTTATAAATAAAAATTTAAAAATAAGAATATTTTTTAATTCTAATAGTATTGGATAATTCATTAATTAATAATATTATAATATTTCAATTATATATAATTGAAATATTAATTATCTTTTAATTATATATAAATTTTTTATTTATAAAAACTTTACATTTTATTATTTGGAAATAAATAAAATATATATTAATATAAGAGCAATAATATTAGTCTAATAAAAATAGAAAAACATCAAGATAATGCTTGGTGTGTTACTTGGTTTACGTGTTTCACATTTCAAAAATGTACTTAATTTTTTTTTCTAAAGAAAAGAGAAAAAACCATATATTACTTGGTGCATTAAATTTGCCATAAATATTTTACTCTTCCCAAATTCAAGCATAAACTAAAAGTAAGCTTAATGTTTTAAAATTTTTTTGAATTATTAAAAAAATATAAAATTATTTTTTATTATATTCTATCAAATTTTTATATTTTTATTTAAAATTAAATTAGATTATGAAAATCATCAATCACCTGCTATTAATTAAAAAATAATAATTAAAATGACAATTTTCATTTATATCAATGATACGGTGTTATAACACTAATGTGATGTCGACAGGCAATTGTAAATTTTATATTATTATATTATAATGTCATGTCACAATTTATCATAATTTGTTAATATCTTCCAAAGTGGTATATGATTGTAAAGAAACAAAAAGGGTTTTGATTAATTTCATTTAATCAACTATTAACTATAAAAGATTTATTTGTTATAAAAAAGCATAAATAAAGATTTATTTAAATAAATTTTTTTTATTGTATTATGTCTTAAAAATGTAAGGTAGAGAAAAAAGGACATAATATCCGACAAGTTCTTAAATTATTTTAAAAAAATTAAATAAACTCTTATATTTTTATTATATTCAATTAAGTTTTTTTTAATTTTGAATCAAATAAGTTTTTATTTTTTTATTTCAAATTAAATATATTTTATAATTAATAATTGACTTAGTTAAAATATTATTTATCATTTTATGTCATGGTGCTATTGTGATATACTAATTTGAAATGATAATATGATTATATGATTATTTTTTAATCTCTACGTCAACGTTATATTAATACTATGCAGATATAAAATGTTAAATGGTATTTTGAGTAATGATAATTAATTAATTATTTTTTATAAAAATTTATTTGATTTAAAATAAAAATATAAAATTTTTTTAAATTTTTTAAAATAATTTACAAACTTGTTTGAGAATTATGTAAAAAAAAATTAGTTGCGTGCAGTTATCCAAGAACGTAAAACATGACAAAAAGGCGGATTCTGTTTGATGGAATTTTCTATGCCAGGAAATGGAAAAGAAAGGTAGGACTGATTCCATATAAAAGGAAGATAAATCCAAACCGAGACCCTATCCTTCCCAGGTTTCCTGCTCCATCCTTTGGAACAACCTTTTCCTTCTCGCTTTGGGTATTCAAAGCTGAACTCCATTAACAAACAACCAATACCTATAAAGCTCAGCTGTTTGTTTTTGAAGCGGCAAGGGAAGGGAAGGGAAGGCTACGAGTATCCTCATTTAGCCTTACCCAAACGCAAAACCAAGCCAACCGAGACCGACCCTTTTGCCTTTTTGGCCTCTTTTGGCACTCACTTTACAATTTTCTACCAATATTTTATTGGTTCTTTTCATAAATTCCATAACTGTTCTTTCATGTCCTTCCTCTCACGTATCCGCGTTTCTTCCAATGGCTTCACCTTCGCTTCTCTCTTTCTTTCTCTTTACTTGAGTACCCGCCTAGGCCTAGCTTTAAAACCCAGTTTCAGTTTTTCTTTCTTTGAAAAATTACACGAGTAGTGAAGCGTTTTTAATAGTTGTTTTGTGATGAGGCTGTACGTTTACGTGTTGCAAGCCAAAAACTTGGGTGTGGAGGACAGTTACGTGAAACTCCAAGTCGGGAAGTTCAAGTCCAAGACAAGGACTTTGAGAAGTACTTTAAACCCGATTTGGAACGAGGAGTTTGTTTTCAGGGTTCATGATGTTGGTGAACAGGTTGTTGTTTCTGTTTTTCACCATGATGATGATTCTGGGTTCTTCAATGCTTCCAAGGATTTGGTTGGTCGGGTTAGGATTCCAGTCTGGTTGATTGCTGATGAAGATAATCAAACCTTGCCTCCAACTTGGCTTTCTCTTGAAGAGCCTAAGACCGGGAGGTTTATCAATAAAGATTGTGGTTAGTGCTCTTTGCCAACGTTTTCTTTTCCTTTTTGTTTCGTTTCTGTGCTACCATGGCTTGAATAATTGTGCTTGGTGGTTTTTTTTTTTCTCTGATAAATGGAAATTGATCTGCATTGTTGCTGCAATTGTTTATAGCCTTGTTGATGGATGTCTTATAGCATAATTGATTGAGTGGGATGTAAGTTTTTAATATATAAGAAAGATTAAATGAAATTTGAATCTGCATTTAATTAGAAAGATTAAATGATATTTGAATATGCATTTGATGATAGTACTTGTACTCAATTGGGCTTTTTTAAATCTTGAAGAGCTAGTTCTGTTTTGGTATTAGACTAGATAATGTTGTTAATCAGACAATTGGAAAAGTGAACTAAAGTTGAATAGATACTATCTGATTTACTTGCCAAAATTTTGTGATTTGTTCAAGGAGATAATGAATGGGATAACTGTTTTGAATCAAAAGTCTATTTTTAGGGACATATATGGAGGCTTCATCTATCTAAGGTACCTGTCAACATACCCTTTGAACATGAAAAAGTTTGTTTTAGACTTGCGTAGGAGCTGGGACTTCCTCACATGAGTTGCGTGCATAGTCACACATAACAGAATGGCACTGCAACAAGATTACAATTTCCATATGTTTTTTTTTATCTCAGTCAATTTATAGTTCCTGGTAAAACAGGGGAAAAATATAGAAAAAAGACTGCAGATGAGACAAACATCAATTGTGAATTTTGTTGCCGCATTTATTGCAACAATGTGATTGCTTTCAATTGGAGCTTTCATAAGCCTTAGGTTCCCTGAAGGTAATTGATTGCAGAGTTCATGAATTGGTTGACTTAAACTTTAAAATCAAAGTGCCCTCTCCACATTTTAATTCTTTTCAGTTTTGTCTCCTAGCTGAATTCTGTGATGGATTTCCAATTTGCATAGGACATCCGAACAGTTGCTTTTCATTAGGGCAGTATATCCCTCTTTGCTCTGCTAATCTGTCAATGGAATTATGAATTTACAGTATATTTTTCTCAATGAATGCAGGAAAAATTCTCCTCACCATTTCTTTGCATGGAAAAGGGCATGATAATTCAGCCAGTCATCTTCTTTATGCACAGTCAGACATTCACCATGAGGACTACAAAGAATTGGAAAGCACATGCAAATTATCTCATGACATATTTAGTTCCAAAGCTCCATGCCTGAAAATCACAGAAGGGAAACATTTAGTGAAGGCTATTGCAGGCCGTCTTGAAAAGCTTTTCAATAAGAATGAGGAAACCTCAAGAACTGATGATTCATCATCAGAATTATCCTCTACACTATCTGATCATGAGGATTCATTGGAGGAACTCCCCTCTAGTTGCAGCTTTGAAGAAGAAATTAAGTTGATGCAGTCAAAGCACAACCAACATGAAATGCCCGAAAACCTTGAGGGGGGCATCCTTCTTGATCAGATGTGTGCATTATCCTCATATGATCTAAATAAGTTTCTTTTTGCACCTGATTCACAGTTCAGGAAAGACCTGACAGAACTGCAGGGAACAACGGAAGTCCAAGAGGGGCCTTGGACATGGAAATCAGGGTATGATTTTTGCTTAACACGAGTTGTTACATACACAAAAGCTGCAACAAAGTTAGTAAAGGCTGTTAAAGCAACAGAAGAGCAGACCTATATCAAAGCAAATGGACAAGAATTTGCCATCCTGATATCTGCAAGTACCCCTGAAGTTCCATATGGAAGTACATTCAAGATCGAGTTGCTTTACAAGATAATGCCTGGACTGGAGCTACCATCCGGAGAAAAATCTTCTCATCTCATGATATCATGGAGAATTAATTTCCAGCAGAGCACAATGATGAGAAGCATGATTGAAGGAGGAGTTAAGCAGGGACTGAAGGAGAGTTTTGATCAATTTGCTGGCTTGCTAGCTCAGAAACTAAAGATTCTGGATTCCATGGAATTATCAGACAGGGATCATATGCTGTCAACTTTGCAAACAGAGCAGCAGTCAGATTGGGAATTGGCAACTGAATACTTTTGGAATTTCACTGTGGTTTTCACCATTTTTATGGTTTCATTTTTCATAATGCATCTTATACTTTGTGATTCTTCCAAAGTCCAAGGCTTGGAAATTGATGGACTTGATTTGCCCGATAGTTTTGGAGAGCTTATCACAGGTGGAATTTTAATTATACTTTTGCAGCGTGTTTATAACATGGTTTCTCGCTTCATACAAGCTAGGTTGCAAAGAGGTGCATTATTACCTCCTTTTATACATACATTATTAGTAAACTCTTAGGACCTAAGAGAAACTACTGCCATTCTGTCCCAGGACTTTCTTACATTGGCAATCTATTTTTAACAGGAGGTGATCATGGAGTCAAAGCCCAAGGCGATGGATGGGTTCTCACGGTCGCTCTGATTGAGGGTGTTAATTTGGCATCCTTGGATTCGACAAGTTTTTCAGACCCTTATGTGGTGTTTACCTGCAATGGTAAAACAAGAATAAGCTCTGTCAAGCTACAAACTCATGATCCTCAATGGAATGGTAATTTTTTTGCTCAAAACTTTCTGTGCATCTTGTTTTTTTCTTCTTCTCAAGAATATATGTTAACCTGTTTTGATGACATGCAGAGATACTTGAGTTTGATGCCATGGAAGAGCCCCCATCAGTCTTGGATGTTGAAGTTTTTGATTTTGATGGTCCTTTTGACCAGGCTGCCTCCCTTGGGCATGCTGAGATCAATTTTTTGAAACATACATCTACTGAACTAGCAGACTTATGGGTCTCCCTGGAGGGAAAGCTTGCTCAGTCTTCTCAGTCAAAGTTACACTTAAGAATATTTTTGGATAATAATAAAGGAGTTGAAGCTATTAAGGAATATTTAACAAAGATGGAAAAGGAAGTAGGCAAGAAGGTAAAGACTGAGCCAAAACTATTGATGTTTTGATTGTGCAATAGCTCATTCATTCATAAGGGTATTTATTTAGTTGTCTTGATGGCATCTAGTTACAGTTCAGTGTCTAGTTGATGAACAGGTCGACCTTTTGCAGAAAACAATACAGAATAATTTTTTTCTGGACAAATCCTTGTCTAAACCACACTTGGTATTTTGCAGTTGAATCTACGGTCACCTCACAAGAATTCAACATTTCAGAAACTGTTTGGATTGCCATCCGAAGAATTTCTTATCAGTGACTTTACATGTTACCTGAAGAGAAAACTGCCTGTGCAGGTGCCATTTACAGTTACCACGTCAGTGTGTTTACTTGTTAAAATAGAATGTTGCGATCAACATTTTTAATTAATGTCATCAAGTGGACATCATATGAACATGTTGATTCCATTTTATCATGTGCAGGACTCAAAACTACTATAAAATTGCAGCCATTGTTTTCTTGCTTGGTTCAGCAACTCTTATTTTGCTAATTTGCAATGTGCAGTAATTCAAGGCAATTCCACGCATTTTCTATTTGTAGATAAAGTTCTGCTATAACTTAGCTAAGTCTTGCACTGAATCGTAGTGTTCACTCATGAAAAAGAAAACAAAGATAATAATGGTTAATTTCCATTTAATAATTGCTTTTTGATTCCGTGGGTTTTTCAGTTCATTGTGAACAAAATGGAATTGGATGAATAGCTTGCCAGTTTAATATGGTTCTTCAAATTTTCGTAAGCCTTTGATTTAAAATGACTAGTAAAGAACAGCTTACCTCATAGTTGTTGCGATAGAACTTGCATGACAAACTCCAATTCCTGTGTTTTGTCTAGAATTCAGATCATTAGTCTCATGTCTTGGTCTCCTTTTTCATATTTAAGCAATACAAATGTTGAAACAAGAAGACTTGTGGATGCAGGGCCGCCTCTTTCTATCTGCAAGAATCCTGGGGTTTTATGCCAATTTGTTCGGACACAAAACCAAGTTTTTCTTCCTTTGGGAAGATATTGAATACATTCAAGTGCTTCCACCATCCCTGGCATCTGTGGGTAGCCCTTCTTTAGTCATAATTCTGAGGAAGGATCGAGGTCTTGATGCAAGGCATGGTGCAAAGTCTCAAGATGAAAAAGGAAGACTAAGATTTTATTTTCAATCTTTTGTGTCATTCAATGTGGCCAGCAGGTATTAGTGTAATAAAATAGCCCAGTGCAGCTCTCTAGGACATCGTCTTGAAGATGATCTTCTGATTTCCATTGTAGTATTTCTATTCGTAAAAGGTGATTATCTACCATGTTATATTACAGAACAATAATGGCCTTGTGGAGAACAAGAACTCTGACACCTGATCAAAAAGCACAGATTGCAGAAGAGCAGCAGGATCAAGAGGAAAGACCCATCACACTTGAAGAGGTTGGATCCATTCGAGATGTTGAAGCTACAAAGATGTCAAAGATTTATTCTGCTGAACTCCCTATCAGTGTAAATTCTGGAGTTCTTGACCCTAATCTCATTTACCTCTTATTTGATTTTTAAGCATTTAGGAACTCACATTGCACATATCCTTTTGGAAGTGCATCCATGAGATTCACAAGAGGCAAATATATTCTTCATATTGAGCGTAATGCGCTTACCCTGGGACTGCCATAGTCTTACCTCATAAGTCATATGCAAAACTCTTCCTTATATTACTCTTTTTGTGTGTAATCCTATCAAAAACTATTAAAAGCTTTGCTTGTAGATTTAAGGATTGCTTTCTAGCTTTGGCCTCTGCTGCCCTGCCATGAACATTTTCCATGCCCCCTAAATTAGATTCCAAGCACTTGTAGTTGTCGAGTATCATCCATCATGTTTAGCATAGTCGCTGTATGATGCTTCTGCTATCTGTTATTGTTAGGATGCTTAATATTAAAAAAAAAAAAGTATGCCTTCAATTTGATTAACTTGTTTAAGTATTTTGGTGGTGGAATTGTGTTTGGCATTGGTGCAGATAACATCACTAATGGAAATTTTTGATGGAGGAAATTTAGAGCATAAAATTATGGAAAAATCTGGTTGCATTAATTATGCAACGACCATTTGGGAACCTGTAAAGCCTGGTGTTTCTGAAAGACGCATCTTTTACAAGTTCAATCGCCATGTTTCAATCTTTGGAGGGGAAGTCACCTGCACACAACAAAAATCTCCCATTGCAAATGATGAAGGGTGGATTCTGAATGAGGTCATGGTGCTCCATGATGTCCCATTTGGTGACCACTTTCGTGTATGTGAAAAACCATTTCCAAAATTTCCCATGCACCCTTTCACTGCTAATGGCTTCATATTGTTTACAAACTTCTTTGTTCCTTCTAATTGCAGGTCCATTTTATGTACCAGATCGAAAAGTCTGGCCTAGCTCACAATGCTTGTAAGTGTGATGCTTACATTGGGATCACCTGGCTTAAAAGCACCAAGTTCCAGCAGAGAATAACCCGAAACATAACCGAGAAATTTATTCATCGATTAAAGGAGATATTCGAACTGGTGGAAAGAGAGATTCTGTTTGCAACTCAACAGGATACATAGCTGCAGCTTTTGACAGATCTTTCCATGCTTACATTCGTCCTTCCGGAACCTGGAGCAACACTGTTACACCTTATTCAGAGAGTTTTCCTGGAATCCCATTCAATTTCTTGTATGACATTCAAAATGTTAATGATTTTTTGTTGTGCTATATGAAATATTCAGAAAGGAAAGAGAAACGTAGGCTTTAAGCCTTGTATACCAACATCACTTGAAACAAACTGTGTTTCAGCTGAAATTTCATGTTCCTCCATTAGAAGAAAATTTTTTAATTCTTTCTTTGTATATTTTTCATAATTTTGCTGTATTATGGGCAATAATGCATCACTCTAATGTCAGGCAATAAGAAAAGGTTTGAATAAATTCCACTTATACCTTGTATGGTTTCAATTTTTTTTCATATTACACTCTGCGGTAATTTTTTTTTTTTTTTTTCAATTAACACCTTACTGATAATTTTTTTCAATTAATAGTTTATGGAAAGTTTTTGTTACTGCAAAGGATTAGATTGTTAATTTTGTCTAACAAAATTATCAAAATACCTTAAATATAAATAAATAGTTTAACCCTAAACTTAGGGCATGCTGATAATTTTATTCGGTAAAATTAACCATTTAATTTTTTATGAGAACAAAAATTATTTATAGGGTGTTAATTGAGAAAAAAAATTACATATATCATGTGAATGAAATATAGGTAATTTTTATTTAATAAAAAAATGGAGAGTTGTTTGAAATTTTGATGAAATTGAAGAATAATGAAACTATTAAGAGCCAAAAAGAAAGGATTTCTTTGCCTTTTTGCTGCTCCTATTTAAAGGGGTTTTGACTTTTGAATAAGGATAAGGACTAAATCGCACACTTGAGATAAGTTTAGTGTCTTTTGGGGCATTGAGATTTTATTTTATTTGACCGTCACATTTTAATATGAGAGCAGCCGTGTCACTCTAGAAAAAACACCCCACCGTCCGCAGCAGCTAAGCCACATAAAACCCTAAACCCCAAAAAATCCAAAACTTTTCTATTTCTTTCTTAATTCAAATCTCTCGCTCCAAACAGAGGGTATTTGTAAATTAAGGAGCGAGATTTCCATTGTTGTTCTTTTTGAATTGAGTTAGCAAATTAAAGAAGAGAGATGCAGCACGACGAGGTGATATGGCAAGTCATCAGGCACAAGCACTGCAGTTTCATGTCCAAGTAAGAATCTCTTTCAAAGCAATCAATTTCCCTTTTTTTTAAGCTTTGATCAGCTTTGGGTATCATCATTTTATGATGGGTTTTTGTTTTTTGAATTGGTTCTTGTAGAATATCTACTGGGATTTTCTGTAGAAACCCTTATAACGTCACTGGGATTTGCAATCGTAGTTCCTGCCCTCTTGCTAATAGTCGCTATGCCACTATCCGCGACCACGATGGTAAGTCAAGTGATTCCTTCCTTGTTGAGAAAATTAGAGAAAACAGAAGTGGTTTAGGCTATGAAATTTTAATGTTTGCTTTGTTAAACTCAATTTCTCCTGATACATGTGTTAAATTCAATTAAAAGATATCTGTTTCATTAGTTATGAAAGTCGAATGAAGCATCTTGTTTTTTGTAAATTGGTTAATAGTACTTAATTGCTGTGAAATGATAGTAAGTGGGTATTGCTACTGCTATGTGTTTATATTCGAGTGATTGTTCTGCCGTGATAGTGCATTTACGTGGCTTATGGGATTTTTCTGTCATGGACTTATTCAGGGGTCTTTTATTTATATATGAAGACTATCGAAAGAGCTCATAAACCCAATGATTTATGGGAAAGAGTAAAATTGCCCCGAAATTATGAGAAGGCACTTGAAGTTATTGACAAGCATCTGGTATAGCCATCTCTTCTCATGTTTTAGTAATGCCTATTTTAATTTTTTTTTCTTAACTTTGGTTTTTCTGTTGCTTAACCTGCCTTCTTCTTTACCCTTTTCTTGTCATTAAGATGTATTGGCCGAAGCTCCTTGTGCACAAAATAAAGCAGCGTCTCACAAAAATGACACAGATGCGCATCCGTATGAGAAAACTTGCCTTGAAAACAAGGTTCCCATCTGCTTTCGCTTTGCATTACTTTTTGTTTCCAAAGTTTATGTGGCAATTTAGTGGATAAAAAATCAAAGAGAAGAACATTATTTCCAAGAATCTCACCAATGGTGGTTGCTAAAATCTTCATTCATATATTTCATATCATTCCTCAAATTTTGTTTTGTGTTTGATATGCTTAGCAGTGGTGAGTGTTGTAGTGGATTTCAATTTTCTTGTTTTTGTGTTTGACATACTCAGCTTTGGACTTATCGGTGAGTGTTTTAGTGGATTCCAACGTGGATGTACTTGTTCAATTTTGGTACTATTTTTTTAAAAAAAATTTATTTTTAATTGACATTTATTAGTTTCTGCTGGATCATATATTTCTCTTTTTCATTTTCAGTTGTTTATTATTTTTCATTTGTCCATAGGGAGAAGATAATGACTACACCCAGAAAGGAGAAGAAGAGGGAGGCTAGAAGGGAGGAAAAGGCTGAAAAAGCTGCAGTCTTGGATAAGGTTATCATCTGCTTAATTGCTTGTCCTGAATTATCCTGTCTTCAGATTGGTTTTAACTAATACCTTTGCAGACAATTGAGAAAGAGTTGCTTGCACGGCTCGAAAATGGAATTTATGATGGAATATACAACCTTCCCTTCAATAAATTTATTGAAACTCTTGACACAGATGAACTGCAGGCTGAGGATGAAAATGAAGAGGTTTGTTTTATGGAACATATTGTTATATATATCATCCAAGCTTTTTGGCATTTTCCTTTTTCTTACCGAATATTAATTTGGGAATAAGCAGGAATCTGAAGTTGAGTATGTTGAGGGAAACTTTGAACTTGAAGAGGAAGATGATATAGAAGATATGGGTATGAAGAATTATCACATCAGTAATGGTATGACGTTTGTCTATGTTGTCAGCATTTTTGTGTCATGTGATATTGCATGCCACATGCATGTATAGGCTTACAAATGGATATATGCTACTCCCTATTTTTTTTTTCTGGTGTCATGTAGTGTCTTTTTAAATGGTGTGAAGTTAGTTTTATGCGACCATAAGCAGGTTTCATTATTCTGAGAAGGGATAATGTCACATTTGGTCCCTGTACTTTAAGAAAATGTCTAATATGGTACCTGTACTTTAAGAACTAAAACTTTCAACTTACTTCTCTATCCCTTGTTTCTAAAGCCAATCAACTGTAAAATCCTTCATTTTGCCTTATTTCCAGAACTTAATCTGCATAAATAAACCAGTCCAAAATCCCCTTCAGCTTCAAAAGAGGAAACAACCAAAAAGCTTCTCAATCTCGTTTTTACTTCACTTTCTTGGCAACCAAACATAATTCTAAAACTAAAAAAGGGAGGTAAAATGCCTATAGGTTAAGTGAATATAAAAAGGAAGAAAGAAAAGGAGAACGGTACCTAGGAAAGGAAGAACAAATCTTTTAGGGATTTTGAAAGAAAGAAATTGGGGTTTTTTTGTGTTTAGGGTATAAGTTTTTTTATCTTTATTAGTTAATTAAGTTTTTTCTGTAAAAAGTCTGACTTAATTCCCTCTAACATGAAGATCCAAGGAGATCTTGATATATGGCATTCATAGGTGTGCCACATATGCAACATGTGCCATACACATGTACATATTAACTTGGTACCAAATGATGACGTGGAAATTCTTTTGCCATGTGTCAACTTTTGGTTGGTTGAAGAACATGTCAGTAGCTCAAGTGTCAGGAGTCAGACTACATTGCTACACGGGATGAAAGTATTGAGTACTATGTTGAACATTTTTTAGTGCAGGTACCACATGAAACATTTTCTTAAACTCTAGGGGCTCAACATGATAGTATCCCTTCTGAGATAGATGATTTGTTGTCACTCCCACTGCCTGCCATGTGTCTAATAATTGAAATGCTGCATATTCAGTTTTGCTCAAATAAGTTGAAATTTTACACAGATGAGGTGGCTGATGATGATGATGATGAAGAAGTAAATGCAGTTGAAGTGAGAAGAAGATCCAAGTCTGAGAAAGATGAACCTGGTAAAAGGCTGAAAAAGAAACCAAGGATCCATGTTGAGGTAAGAATCCTTACCAATATCTTGTAGCTCTTCTTATATTTTCAGACAATGATTCATGTGATAGTCCTTCAGCATCTATTAGGTGAAATTTTGCCTGGTTTTATTAAGTTGGTGGTTATACATCTACATGTTGGTGTCTGGTGCTCTTGGAATAAGCCGTATGCCAATTCAGTGTAAATCTTTTGGTTTATGGCTAGTAATAGTTCATGGTTTTGGTTACAAATTAACATTGGATTTCATAGCCTGAGATGGTCCTTGAGCTCCACTAAGTCCTAACTGCAATTACACTCAGTTGGTAACTTTTGTTTCTTTGAGACACTTTTAACGTTTTTAGCATCTCATGACATCATTCCTCTGCCACCTGTTTAGGAAAAAAGCTTCATTTAGTTTTTAATTTTTTGTGTGGATTTCCCTGGTACTAATAGATCTGTTCATTTACTTTTTATATTTGCTATCATTAGTGATGTTATACCACTTCTTTCCAGAATATGGGTGCTAAGAAATTCCATTTCTATTGTATTTGCTTTTTATCAGGTTGAACATGAAGATGGTGCTGAAATGCAGAAAGCAACCTTTTGAGTCTCAGTAGCTTGTTCCATCTATCAACAAATACCATGAAGGCTGCATATAAGGTAGTTTTTTGAATGTGTGTCATCCTCCTTCCTAACAATGTGCAGTATGAGGGAAATCCAAAGAGGCTTTAGCATAACCATGTAACCCTCAAAAAGTTTCAATGCCATCTGCCCCCTTTTCCTTTCCGGCTAAACGAAATCAGAGAAACGAAAGGAAAGAGGAGAGAAGGAAGAAAAGAGAAGGACGAAGAGTTTTGACCCCCCTTTTTTTTTTTTGTTGGTTTATAGAGTTGAGAATCATGTGTTAAAACTTGTTGTATTTGCATTTTAACTATGCAAAGGAATGTGGGAAGTTAAAGATGTTTCCAGGCTAATACAAACTGAGATTGCTAATGCACATTTCTCCTTTTATGTTAAAAAGAGGTGTTCCTTTTTAAATTTTGCATATCAAGAATCTATCTGAATACTATCTGGAGGCATGGTGACAATACCAACTCCCATCTCTAATGAACAAATCTTCAGTTGCTGCCATTGTTGCCATGTTTATGCTTTGGAGAAACTCTCTCTTGCAAAAATGAAAAGTCCTTCTAGAAAGGGTTTAAGATTGCAATATGGAAAACCATTAAAATCTATGGATGTGTGCATCTGGTTTCCTGAGTTTCCAAAAGAAGCAGATTCCATAGTGAGTCTGATTTGACAAGCCATCTAAAGTTGTGACTATAGTTTTGGAACACTTTTTTCCTGGTTAAATGAATAAAAATATGAAACTTAAACAGAAGGTGACAGCAACTTTTATCTTATCATAAAGAGTTAAATGTTGCATAATTTTTTCCTTTTAATAAAAATAAAATTAATAAAGTGTCATGATTAGAAACAACAAATAGGGTATTTAATAATAAAAATATTTTAATAAATAATAAAAATTAAATATAAATATTTAAAAAATAATAAATACATTAAATTAATTTTTATTATAAAAAAGGGCAAAAAAGGCTCTCTCACTTCATCCAACGGGGGGTAATGTTATCATAACTCCAAAACACAGGATCACTTTGAATTGGATCACTTTGAAAACTCAGTTGCACTCTGAAAGAAGTGTACTTTCGCAGAAAAGCTTTTCCATTTGCCAAATTCCCACCCCATTCTGCGCCCTAGAAATGGATCCGAACCCGAAAAGCTACCCGCTCCTTTCCTACGTCATGTCTCGCCTCCCTTCCATTGGACCCTCCAAACTCGCTTCCGCACCGGACTCCGATCCCGGCTTCGACCTCGAACAACCACCGCCAGTGCCTGACGCCTCCGCCCCATCCTCGTCCACCAACCCGCCACAAATCGTGGACCAAATGCCCCACTTATCCCATCCCAATGTCCTCGCCTCCATGGCCCATTCCGTCGCCGACGTAGCCCAAACCCGCTCCGTGCTCCGAACCTTGGGCGCACGACCTGACCACGAGGCCGTCGACATGGCCCGGTCCAAACTCGGCGAGATCGAGGCCAGCCTCTCCAAATCCCTGGAAGAACTGGTCCTCTCTCCTCGACCCGTGGACGTGGATCGACTCGAGTGGCGGTCCCATTTGGCCGAAAAGGAGCAACAGATTCGCCAGCAAGCTGAGAAAGAGAAGGCTATTTACAAATCGATTTTGCAATTGGACGAAATGCACGAGGCGTACGGGAAGCTTCTGAGGGAAGCGGAGGATAGGCTGGTTAAGATTTATGAGAAGGCGGGAAAAGTGGCGGGAAATACGGAGGTGGTTGAGAAGGTTAATGCAGATGTTGTTGGGATACTAGAGGAAGCGCAAGGGAGAGGATTGGAAAGAGTGGATTTGTCTGGAAAGAAGCTCAGGTTTTTGCCAGAAGCCTTTGGGAGGATTAGCGGCTTGGTTTTGCTTAATCTTTCCAGTAATCAGCTTGAGGTCGGTTTTTCTTGCGGCAATTTTTTTTTTATGAGAACTGATATTGAATTTCTTTCTCTTTCTAGAGTTATTGAAGTTGGAATGTGATTGGATAAGGCTGTGGATTAAGATAGAAATCCAAATAATTATGCATTGCAATTATATTTGTTTCCATTCAAAGGAAAGTTGAAAATTTAAAGCATTAACATACCAGCTGCTACTGTAACTAGTGAAATTGTCATCTTGTTAGTGTATCGTTTAGGCGCCAGATTTTACATTCAGGCACCGCATTACAATGATCACCTATGTTACTTGGAGTCAGGTGTCAGTGTGGGATGATGGTATGTGTCCAACACGTATAGGGTTTCCTTATAGTTGGTTATATTTGGATTGTCTGACCTCCATACCCATGTTCGCCGAATATGTGTTTGACATGGGTACTTCGAGGAAAATGAAGACTCGGACTTCGGAGCAACATTGCATTGTGCTAGAATTTTGAGAGTTTGCATGCGATTTTGGACATTTCTACATTACTCAGTTAAATTTGGACAAATGGAAATATGTACTAAGTACAACCATAAGCTACTTGGAACAGCTGGATCTAGAATCCTTCAACATTGAAGGAGTTATTCAGTAATCAGTACTTTGAATTAGACAGGTGGAAGAAGCAGTTTCCTACTGTCAGTTTTTCTGTTATGTTATTTATATGTTGATGCTGTAACATAGATTTCAATTTGGCAGAAGGGATATCAACTCCCTTAACGTCTTGATAAATATATTGCTTTCTAATGGTATATATACTTCTGTTCATGTTCACTTGTAAATGATCAACTGGACTTGTAGGTACAATATTCTTATGAAAGATTCCTACGTTATTATGACTTAACACTGGGCTGTAGACATCAGATATGAAAGTTATAACCTAATCCAGGTTACATGTTTTTGTCAGATAATGGTTATCTTTATTGATACAAAGACTTGTTGTTGCTTTCATGATGGTGTAATTAAAACTGATAAAGTTAAGCAATCAACTTGTTTTGTTATTGGCAAGTAGTATGAATTCTGGGTCTTGATTCTTTTATTCATTTCCCTTGCATCTGATTAACCTGTTTGGGGAAACAGGTTATCCCTGACTCAATTGCTGGATTAGAAAAACTTGAGGAACTGAACCTTTCTTCGAATCTTCTGGAATCACTGCCAGACTCGATTGGGTTGCTCCAGAACTTAAAAATCTTAGATGTCTCTGGAAATAAACTGAATGCCTTACCTGACACCATTTGTCATTGCAGGTAACATTATTTCCTTACAAAATCAAACATTTTTTCTTTGGCCATTATCCTTTGCTAAAATTTGATTTTTCTTCAATTCAGGTCTTTGATAGAGTTGGATGTGAGCTTCAACTCCCTGTCATACTTACCAACTAATCTTGGGAATGAATTAGGAAATCTGCAAAGGCTTTCATTTCATTTGAACAAGATCCGTTCCCTGCCCACTTCTATTGGTGAGATGAGGTCTTTGCGTTTTTTGGATGCTCACTTCAATGAACTTTGTGGCCTTCCGGATGATATTGGGAGATTGACAAATCTTGAGATCCTCAATCTGAGCAGTAATTTCACTGACTTGAGGGAACTACCAGACACAATTGGTGAATTGACAAATCTTAAAGAGCTTGATCTCAGTAACAACCAAATTCAAGCTCTTCCTGATACATTTGGTCGGCTTGAGAAGCTGACTAAACTCAACCTGGAGCAAAATCCCATTGTCATTCCACCTTCGGAAATAGTAAACCAAGGGGTTGAAGCGGTCAAGACTTTCATGGCTAAAAGGTGGCTTGACATACTTGTGGAGGAAGAAAGAAAGTGTATGCAAGAAGTAAATGAACAGGCACAGACTGGGTGGTTGACACGCAGTACCTCTTGGTTGAAGAACTATGCTTCAGTTGTTAGTGAGAGTGTTTCAGGTTACCTTGGAGCTGCTGGAGGATCTCCTAGGGACCCTTATCTTGATGAGCCGCGATGATATCATTGTTAACTACTACATGCCTATCATCATTGTTAACGACTACATTCCGCTTCGCAGCCAACTTCAATTATTGAAGGTTTCCTCATTTTTCCTTAAGCACCAGTTCCAGCTTCTTGAGTTGAAAAGCTAACAAATTTTGTTCTCATTCTGACTTCCCGAACTCGAGTTTTGCTGAAAAATAATGTGGGAAGAACCGTACTATTTATATATATTTTTATCATAGCTTTGCTTATTTTGGTCGAAATAGAATTTCTCTTAATTACAGAGTTGGTTGGGTTGGTCAGATATCCTTTTCCTTCTATTGCAATTCCTTTTCATTTCTGGAGGCGATTACAACTTCATAATACTAAGATTGCATAAATAACATGGAATTAGGAATGATTATTATGATTCTTCAGATCAAGTTTTCCTTTTCAAAGTCACCTCAGCTGCAAAAGTGTGATACCTAGCATAAACCTGTTTAACCTGATGCTTTTTCTTTCCTCCTGCTTCATGATGGCAAATCCATGGGGATGCAAGAACCATAAACTCTCTCCCTGGTCCTCTCCGCCTGAGAAAAGCAAAACAAAACAAAAAATTGTTCAGGAATCTGAAGAAATGAAACTGATGCGGTAATTTTTACTACTAGAGATTATTGATATACTTCTAGCTCCCAGTTCGTGCGCATGGCAATGACTAGAAGCAGAAATGCTTGCAAACCACTCCCACATATAATTCCAATCCAAAGTCCCTGCAAAAAGAAAAAAAAATGGTAATTCAGTAAAACAAGAAAAACCCATCAAGCCTTTTTAATTTAACATTTGAGTTTTTTGGCTTACTTTTCCTCCAAAGTGAAAGACAAAACTCAAGATGATGGCTGAAGGAAGCCCCAGGAGATAATAAGATCCTAGATTTACATAAGCTCCAATCTTTTGCCAACCACACCCTCTAGCAGTACCTGTATAAATGTATTTGATCATACAAATTTGTTGGCATGACTTCCACTGATATATGGAATTGAATTGTTTGGGAACCAAGTGGTTGATCAAACCTGAGAGAACACCCTGGATTCCGTCCATGAAGTTGGATAGAGCTAGCACCGGCATCACGGATGCCAGATATCTCACAACTTCTTCTTCATTGGTGTACAGATAACCCAAGGTTCCCCTCAATGCAACTGCAATTATGCTTAGTGACAGACCTTCTGATACTGCCAACAACACCACAATCTTCACTGCAAGGCGTGCAGCTTGTGGTTTGCCAGCGCCTAGTTCGTTTGAAACTCTTGTACTAAGAGGGAGATGAAGATTAATTGTCAGAATTCATTAAGATAAAAGTGATTGATAATATCTACCTTACTGCACTGCCAAAGCCAAAGGGGATCCTGTAGACTACTGAACTTATGTTGAGGCTGGAGGAAAATCAAATATCCGAGTTAGCAATACAGGATTAATGCTGAAGCCATAGATGAGTAGCTAGTTTGAAATTCAGGAAACAAGTTGCTTGAACATTTTCAAAGTTCTGAATCTGAAACGATTTTTGTTGACTTTTGCAGATGCATATCAGTGGAAATTAGGGGCTGAATTCATAGTGTGTTATTGAGCAGGAAATCCTGAACACAAAATGAATGGTATGGTGGACAAAGCTTCTGCATGCAGGCACTTAAAAGGCGATGAAAATATGGCAAGTGGAATACGAAGAGAGTGTGAAAATGCTAACCTGACAGACATCATTGATGTTTCTAGCTTTGGATTTGGAAGAAGACCAGACATGAGAACTAAAAATTCGTACGACCAAAATTCGAAGCTGGAACTCATCACCCCCAAAAAAGAAAAAACAGATTGCATGATTGCTAGTGCTCGCAAAGGCGTACAAAACAACTCATTTCAGTCATGAAAACAAAGAAAATTGATGGTTCTGATCCATATGAAAATCAAACTCACCAGACCATAAGAGCTGATGGTATGCCTAACTTGAGAAAACTGACAAGGTTTCTCCTGCCATCCTTGGAGAAACCTGTCCAGGTTTTCTTGCATGTGGGAGAAAACTTGATGTAGATGGCCAAAATAAACACATTGGTCCAATAAGAGATGGCACTCGACAGGGCAGCACCTTGATTGCCAAAACCAAGTCGAAAAATCAGTGTCCAACAAACGAGGATATGAACTAAACTTGTAATTCCTGTAGTTATCATCAATGGAAGAACATTATTCTGAGTTTGCAAGAATCTCAGCTGGGACTGCAGAAGGCCATAAGGAAGAATGCTGGGAATCATCCACCGAGCATACACCCCTGCACGCATCGAAATTTCTGTATCTTGCTTGAGAATGGTGAAAACTTGCCCTGTGAAAGCCCAAATCAGGGATATGGGAACGCTCGCAAGTGTAAGAACAAGCATTGCCCTCTGCATGTGAACTCCAAGCATGTGATACTGTTTTGCTCCATAGGCCTGCCCACAGAAGGTTTCCAGTGCACTTCCCATCCCAAGCTAGCCGATAACAAATGAAACTTGAAAGCGTCAAAAATGTACTGTGAAGTTGCAAAGTAAGCCAACATTCTCGATTAATTTGACCACCTTTCTTAATCGATCAAGAGATAGAGAAAAAGAACTTAATCAGGAGGAAATTGCGTGTGGTCTCTATTTTTTGTTTGTGTCCTTGTGCATCTATGATACTGCTGTGTCGGTTAAAAGATTATCTCTGGGTTCGAGTTCCACGGTGGGCGGTGGTTTGTTTTAAAACATTCATTTATCTTATCACTCTGATAAAGTTTTACTAGTGTTAGATTTTTGTTTAAGGATTTATCCAGAACTTTACTTGCTTTTGAGATTATCCGTGTTGAGATACTGCCAAGTGCTCCTTGAGCAGCTGTTCTTTTTGTAATTGTTCAGTACAGGCTCTTCTTATGATAGCTTCCATGCCAACAGGAGTCTCCAAATCTCAACGTTGAAGACTCCCCAAGACATTCCAGCTCATCATTAATAAAAACCATCTTTCAAAAAAAAAAATTGACCACCTTTCTATTCCATAAATGAGATGGATGCACAAACTCAGAAAAAGAAAAAAGGGTTAGCACATGCACGGTAAGAAGAAATTAGAAGCTTTACCATGAAACTGAAACCTGTCACCCCAGCAAATGAAGTAGCCATTGAAGCACTTGCGAGGGAGAGCTCCCCGAGATGGCCGACAAACATGACTGATATCATCAGCAAACTGTACTGCAAGAAACTGACCACAACTAGAGGTCCAGCCACCCTCATTTGCTTCTTTAGCTCTGTGGTTATCTCAGCTTTGTTGCAGCTTTCCTTACTCAAACTCACACCCTCTCCAGGTACCTTTCCAGAGCCTGGAATCAGAGGGGATTCAAGAATACCTATGGAGTCTTCCTGTTCCATCTCTCCTCTTTTTTTTTTTGTTTCTTGAAAATTTGAAGAAACAAATTTGAAAAGTTTCTTTTAAAATCTTTTTGGGCTATATTTCATAGTTGTATCCTTTAATATATATGTGCAAAAATGAATGCCAGTTCATATACTTTGCAATTTTTGGTAAAGTGTCAATATCACGACTGACGAGCGGTTGCAAGGCTTAAGACTTGGCAAGTGACACTATTGCATTACAAGTTCAAGTTTATTGCATTACAAGTTCAAGTTTTCTTTTGTAATATTCACCCTAAGTTGGGGGAAAAGAATAGTGAAGAGTTTAGACAGCTGTCTTGTGCTGTTTTTCTACCCACAGTACAATGCTTCAGCAAGTAAAAGGAATGATCAGCAGCAAAAGGCAGAGCCCATGAAAGAAAATACATGCTTAAGTTAAAATTTGATTAGGAGATGATTTTTATCTTAAACGAGTATAAAGTATGAGTTGCAAGGTCCCTTAATTCCCTCCTACAAACCAATCTCAATTCATATGCATGGTCCAGTAGCAATTATTTCTTCCGCCAATTTTAGTACAGAAACAAGGGCGTCCCAGTTTGCCTACTTTTGCCAACTATCCTAGTATTATTGTTTTTTCTCAGTCAAAAGTAGGATTTACTTATATCTATTTCACTGGCTAGTACAGTGAGAAGCCGTAGCCGAAAAGCCCAAGCAACACCTTGTGGCAATCTAAATATATGTGCCACTACATAAAGATGAAAGAAAAAGAGAGCATGATCCTACCAGTACCAGATATAAGGCTTAGCCGGAAAGCACTGAAAACAGCAAGACAACATATAAGCATCACGCAACAGCTCAAAGGGAAATAACCACTTATTGGATTCCCCCACCTCTGGGCGCCCCTAAACACTATACGGACGGTGCTGTCAAAGGGAGGCCAGGGCCAGCTGGTATTGGGGGAGTTCTAAGGGACGACCAAGGATTCATAAAAGGTACACTTTCCAAATTCCAACCATATTGACATTGACGACTCAAACTTTGCTCAATTCCAAACCATCTGTTAAAACCAAGTGAACAGGTGCAGAGAGAGCAAAACGATGGTGAAGAAAATGAAGTTCTTTCATTCTTCGATAAGGAAGAAAAATATCACCAATAAACTATTTATAATAGTCTGTTTCAACTAAGATTAGACTAGTTACATAATTACTATACAATGAAATGGTAAAAAAAAAATATTTATATTAAATATTCACATGACTTGCACAGACTCAAGGTCACATGGCACATGAAAACCATTTCCAATGCCATTGGAGCTTATTCATAAAGCTGCACTGGAATCTCATTCAAACACATCCTACGTGAGGCTAGCATTGTGGCAGATGGATTGGCTAAAGTGGGAGCCATGAGAACAAATAATTTTCAGTGCCTACTTTACCGACTCAAGCAAAGGTGAAGCCAGCTAGTTTCTGTCTTTCTCAATTTTTGACTTGCTTGGTTAGATGAGTTTTGCTTTTAAATTGTTGTAATAAGAGCAAATGATCTGCTGTGTCTTGAGGTCAGATAGTTGATTATGACTTGATGGCTCTTTTGTTTATTGGCACATCAGGACTCCCCTGATTGCTGCTTCTCCCAATTATCCATTATCCATATATCCATCATCTTTGCTTTTTGGTCAGAGGTTACGGAATGGAGTCTTAAGTGTTGCTCAACGGTGACTGAGCATGTAACCATACGTCCCGCCAAAAGAATACTGAGGAGCCATCTCCAATAATCCATCTAGAGGCATCAAAACCCACCAATCCCTGTACTCCTCTTATAGAAGGAAGATTAACAATGTTTTTCCATACTGCTGACATCCTCCATGTGTTGTGTACAGTTGGCAACCAACATTATTTACCTTCACCATATTTCGCTGTAATGAGGCGACGCCAAAGAGAGTTATGCTCCACTCCATATCACCACTACCATTTTTTGAAGAGCACTAGGTTCTTTTGGCGAAGGTCTGATATACCAAGTCCCCAAATTGCTTAGGCTTGCAAATTATGCTTCCTTTCTTCCTCTCTCTATGATAAGATGAATACATGCTCCATCAATGGCATGTTGCTGTCGAGTAAAAGTATACATCCCCATATCGTTAGCAATACCTGCTCAACGAACAGAAACCTTTTGCTCTCATTTGGTGTCCCTAAACTTTGAACCTTAAAGCTCTAATATGAAAAGTTTTAGGTACATATAACACAAAATTATGAAAAAATTATCCAGTTGAGGTAAGAAGATTTCAAAGGTTGGCAGCGGGCTTGGAGCCAACGGGTCAGTAGAGTTGAGCGGTTAACCCTGTAGAGAGACAAGGTTCAAGTCTTGCTTATGCTTCAAACTTTGGGGGTTATTTCTATTACAATAAAAAAGAAAAAACCTTCAAAGGCTTAGCAAAAGAAAAACAGAGCCTTCCTGGTCATCCAGGCCAATGAAAAGAATATCTAGGACCCCTCAGGTTTTGTGTCTATCACTATTACAGATCTCTAGGAATCAGGATCATGCGAAGCTAGCTACCATATATGACATTCAAAATGGTACCTACATGAACACGAATGGTTAAATGTTTGAGAAATTTTGCATCTCCTCATCAGAATTTATACAACTCAGCTGAGATTTGTCCTACACTTTTGATGGTCGGCAGCTAAGGTTGTCTTAGATTGCGTGTATTACAAAATTAGGATTCTTATTCTCTCTACCGAAAATTTCACAAGCAGAGTTAAAATCTCTCCACCTCTATTTTCTTACATATAGATTAATGAAACTTGTGATGAGTGATGACCTTTCAACTCAGGTAAACATTCCTATGTGTGGATGCTCTCGACAACCATTTGCATTTAGTCATAGCCATGAGAACTGGAAGGAAATCAAAATCCAAATAATTGCATTGTTGTCATCTGCTTGATTTTCCTCAGGCCCAGGAAGGACTGTGATTTGAGTTGTTCCCTAGTTGGCAATCTCGTGATGCAGCGTTTGTACGATCTTGATCTTGTGTTGTTACCCAAATCCAATCCGGAAATCTGCAAAGATACCCTGGAAGTCTAACAATCTGTAACAACAAGGAGCCTGGAGGAATGATCTAACGTCAGTCCAACATTGGCCTTTTTTTCCCCACGCTAGGATTCCATGGCAAACCACATGACCAAAACATTGATTCATCCGATATAATTGCCATAGAATTAAGCTGCATCATTAGGAAAATGAACTTAATCCATATCCTACCAGGAATCTTTGTTTTGTGCCATGTAAATCTCCTTTATTCACCTTCTAAAAGTACACAGTAAAATCAGTGTGATTGGTGGCCTGACACAAACATCGTTTGATTGTGTTCCCAATTTGGTGGCTTTCCTCCCCAACCCTCCCATGTGCAGCACATGCTTTCCAATTCCTTTCCAGTTCCATTAACCCTCCATAACCAACCTCATCATTCTAATAAAATATAATCCACATTCTCACTCCCAATCATTCAAAACAACCACAAAAGAACTCTATCCTTCTTCTTCTTCTTCTCCTTCTCCTGATCTTCTGATCTTCTTCGATTCTTCTTCCCGTTGAACTATAAAGACACCCAGAATCAGATGACTTTGTTGTTCAAAACCAAACCAACCCTGACAACGTTCCTGTTGTCTCTCTTCCTGTCCATTTGTCTAATCCTGTTGTGTTTTGATCACCTTCACCAGGCAAGCAGCGGCCTGGTAACTCTCTGCACGCTGATCTTGCCAGCCGCAGGGGTTTTGACGGGCCTGACATTGCTGGTTGCTGCTGCCCGAGCCGCCATGGTGACTTGGATCACGGTGCTGGTGTTGCTAGCCTTTGTGGGAAAGCGGAGGCGCGTGCTTGTTCAACAGGGAAGGAAGATCACCACCGACGTTGCAATCTACTTCCTTGGTCATTGCTACGGTGAATGAACATGTATTAATTCCTTCTTTTACTGTCCAAAGCCCAAAATTAGCTAACAAATTTGTTTTTCCATGCTTGGGATTATCAATTAACAAGAACCCAAGATCCAAAACACATGTAAAGTAATCCCCTACTCTCTTTAATTACTACCAGCTAGTTGCAGTGCTGTTTCCTCATGGTCCCTTCTATTTTTTTTCCATGTTAAAAATGGACTATGCCTTCATTTTGCCATTTTCTTTAATAGAAATGCTAGGAAAAAATTTTAAATAATTTCTTATTCTTTTATTATATTTAATAAATTTTTATATTTTTTATTAAATAAATTTTTATAATTAATAATTAATTAATTATTATTAATCAAATATAAAATATAAAAAAAATCACATGATCATATCAATATATTATTTATTATGATATCATATGTCATATCAACATAATATATAATAATAAATTACATTTTGATTAAAACACAATAATTTGATAACCATTAATCATAGGGTTTAATTGAATTATACTTTTTCTAACATAATGATTATAAAAAATTTTTATTTTTTATTAATAATTGATTAATTATCCAAATGTTCATGTAATCTTGATGTAATATACTAAATTATCATAATAAAAGACGAAATTATTATATCATCATGTTATGTCACAATTTTTTAATTTTAACTAATAGTCTCATCCAATATAATGAAAAAAATACAAATTAAGAAAGTAAGATGTAATTAAATTATTTTATGTATTTTGATATTTAAATTCTTTTCTAAGAGTTGAGCTCAAAAAGTAAAAAAATTAAATTAGTATTAGTATAGATTTATTATTATAGCAAATTAATTTCAACCTTAATCCCATGGTGTCTTTCTACTTGTAATTTACTTTCCATATATGTCTTTTAGTTATTTATTTGATATTATATATTTAAATAATTTAAAATAAAATAAATTATAATTAATTCAAACTATGAGTAAATTGGACAAAAGAGCTTCTTATTTCTCAAAAACTCTCAAAATGAGACAATTTGTTCTTCAAATCCCATCAAAATGTTGAAAATTTTATCAATAATTAAAACTGAGATTATTAAGGAAAAAAAAATTAAATATAAGAGATTAAAGATTATTAGATTAAAATTAAAAAGATAACACATAATTAAATTGATGTTATTTTTTCCTCATGTGTTACGAGGTGTTAAGAAGAGGATTAAAGTATAACCAATAATTAAGAATGATAATTAGGGGAAACAAAATTAAACATTAGATATTAAGGACCATTAGATTAAAGTTAAAAAGATAAGATACAATTAAATTAGTCCTATGTTTTCAAATTTGAAGACCTTGTTTCGAAAATCGAAATTTATAAATTTTTTAATAAAATATATGTTAAATTTAATTTTTTATTAAAAAATCATATCAATTAAGCTATCGACCATAATAAAAAAATTAATTATGATTTCTTAAAATCATCGAGATAGAAAAAATTAAGACATTTATTATATTTTGATGAATCAAGTAAGCACTCGAACATAAATTCTTGATGTTAACTAAATGTGATGTCGATCGGGACGGTAGAGTAATAGAATTAGTATATTTCAATAATATTAAAGATCGTTGAATTTAATTTTGATAAAAAATTATATAAATTTTTTATTTTTTATTTTTTTAAATGTCACAAAATTATTATTTTTCTCATATATTGAAACCCACATTTCAGTTCCAATCCCCTGCGGCCAATCCAACCCCACAAACCCCGCACCTCATACGTGGCAAATTTTAATTCACAGGATAATACGAAAACGCAATAGAGTCCTGATGAGATGATACGACAAACGCGATAGCGTCCTGATGAGATGATACGATAACGATTGGGTTCCTTAATCACGATGGCAACCCAACCAAAGTTTTCTTCGGGAGAAAGAAAGTCAACGGGAAATTTCTTATTGGCTAAGCCACTCGTGATGCTATAAATAAGCCGAGAGAGCTTTTGTTTGGATTGAAAGGGCTTTCGCCGGAAGGAATCGCGGAGAGAAACTTGAGAGAGGGGAAGAAAAAGGGGAAACCTTCAAAACCTCAAAAGATCGTTTCGTGGAGAGTTTTCTCCGAATTAATCGTTTGGTAGACTTTGAATTGTTAAACTTATTGTGGGTTAGGGTTTTTGTTTTTGTAATTTTTTCTCGTTTAGGGATTAAAAATTTTATAATCCATTTTGGTTTGCCGAAATTGATCTCCTTATTCGACGTCGACGGAATGGAATCCAATCTCGTTATCAAGGTTTGATTTTTTTTTCCCTTGTACTTATTGAAAATGGATTGATCGTTCGTTTTGGGGAGGTTTTGATTCGGTCGGAAAATTTTGTGATTTTGGAATAGTGAACAGTGTACGACTGTAACTTAAAACTGCTCGTTTTTCTGTTTGTTTACGGGGAAAATGGGGGAGGAACATGGTAAAGTTTGATTCTTTTGTTTTGTTTTCTCGAATTCGGGACTGTGGTCGTTTCCGTACTGATTTGTTATGATTATTTTGAGCTGTGATTATTGCGTTTACTGAGCTTTGTAAAATGTTCTTTAACATGCAATGAAGGCTTTCTGCCTTGGAATTATGATTTGATTTCCTGTCTATCATGCACGTGTGATGATCTTAATGTCTTTTCCAGGTTGAATTCATGATTAACCCTCGTTTTTCCTTTTAAATTCATTGAATTGGTCTCTTGTTTCCCCTGATTAATTACTGCTGCTGAAACTTGAATTGCAATCTGTTGTTAGACCATGATACTTTTTTTATATATATTATTATTTTTGATGTTATTGTAACTGTTTTCCTTATCTCATTATTTTTGCTTTGCAAATGTTATGGATACAGGTTAAGTATGGACATACTCTAAGGCGTTTTAATGCTGGAATTGATGATGCTGAACAGCTGGATCTTAATATGGCTGGACTGAGGGCCAAAATTATTGGGCTTTTCAATTTTCCTGCTGATGCTGAACTTACTCTTACTTATATTGATGAAGATGGGGATGTTGTTACTCTTGTTGATGATAATGATCTGCGTGATGTGATGAGGCAACGTCTCAAGTTCTTGAGGATTGATGTGAGGCTGAATAACGATAAGTTTGGTAAACTTTATGCTGGATCAAGCGGAAGTTCTACTCCCTTAAGATCCCCATCTGTTCAGCCTCCGTTGGCAAGCTTTAATACTGGTGCTGCTGATGTATTGAAATCTGTGCCTGAGCCTCTACGTGATGCTTTAAGTGAAGTTTTCTCAAAGCTGTCCTTTGATGTTCCTTTGAAAGTTGCATCTGCTAGTCCAGTGCTAGGTGATCTTGTGGAGTGCTTGTCTAAGATGGGACAATCCTATCTGAGCCCTGTTTCCCAGTCTGGAGCTGGTGCTAATACAAACATACCTGTTGGAACTTCTGAGAGCCCTAGTGCCCCATCTGCCCCAACCGATCCCAATCCTTCAAGGGATGCTGGCTTACAAGCAGTTTTGCCAAAATGTACAGCTGATGACTCAAGTTGCAGGGCTAGCAAGGAAGCCAACAATGGAAATGCAACGGGAGGTGTAAATGTGCCTGCTGCTGTTGATTTGAATGTTGATCCTCCTGCTGATGTCAACCTGACTGGATGTGCTACCATGACCTCTGGATCATCTGCATCAAACAAGAAAAACACAAAGGAGAGCAATAGTCATAACAAGGGGAAGAGTGTTAGCTTGGATACATCAACTCCCCTTGTTGATACTACAAGGAAATATTATCCGATCAATGGGATGGGTCCTTCAAATGAATGTCCCTTCAGTGGAGTGCCGGTAGCAAACGACCCTGTTGTGCCTCCTTTTCTATACCATCCCTTTAGTCCAAGTAAAAGGAGTTCCACTCATGAAAATCCCATGTTTGGTACATTCCACAAGGGAATTCAATGTGATGGTTGTGGAGTTCTTCCCATTACTGGACCTCGGTTCAAGTCCAAAGTGTAAGAAATGTTTTAAGTGCTGATGATTCCTTTCAGACTCTTTTTTTATTGTTACTCACTGAACTTCCCTTACTTGGGAATACAGAACAGATGATTATGATCTCTGCAGCATCTGCTTTTCCAAAATGGGAAATGAAGCTGATTACATCAGAATGGACAGACCTTTGCATTACCGGCATCCATGGTGTTTCAGGGCATCAAATGATCATGTAATTTCCTTAGCTGTTTGCTTCATAACTCTTATCCTTGTTTTAATGACATCTGATGCGTTCCTATTTACAGATTCCAAGAGCTGGTGGGCCAGCACTACCGCATGTCTTGAGGAATCGTGTAATGAAGTCAGCTCGGCCTAAGCTAGACAGTCGCTTCATCTTGGATGTCAGTGTACTGGATGGGACTGTAATGGCTCCATCTACGCCATTTACAAAGATCTGGAGGATGCGCAATAATGGCACTTTGCCCTGGTGTGGCAGAATGCAACTTGTCTGGATTGGGGGAGACAAGTTCAGTGATGCAACCTCAGTTGAGATAGAGGTAGGGTGTTTTCTCTTTTGCATTAATAGCAGTTGTACTGTTTCATGTGTGTTCAATGATCGTTATGATTTTGTTCAAGGCTGTGCTTAATTATTTGTTGGTCTTCTCAACTTATGGCAGATTCCTGCTGATGGTGTACCTGTTGATGGGGAACTTGATATTGCCATTGATTTTACTGCACCACAGTTGCCTGGTCGATATGTTTCTTACTGGAGAATGGCATCTCAAACTGGCATGAAGTTTGGGCAACGTGTTTGGGTTCTCATCCATGTAAGTATTGTATTTTCAATATGGTTGATATGCTTTGAGGTCTTTTATCTTTTGACAGTTCATTTACTTTTGATTATGATTTGTTAATGCAGGTTGATACGTCCATTAAGGAATCTATTAGTGATAACTTCCAGGGCTTGAACTTAAATTTGCCCCCTGAAAGCAGTGGCCCAAGAGACCCTGAGATTGTAGATATGAATGTTGATCTTGTTACAGAGCTTTGCAACTCTAATGCGGGCAATGCGCCTCTGAAGCCCATGGTTAATGACCAGCCAGCAAAGGAGCATACAGTATACAATAGTTTGCTGCTTGGCAGTGATGTCCCAATACCTGTTCCTACATCTTCATCTGTGACTTATCCCATCATTGACCAAGGTGTCTTTGTCCCTGTTCACCAGCCTCCTACATTATCTTCACCTGCAGCATATCCTAACATTGACCAACGTGTCTCATCTCCTGCTTTTCCACACATTCCATCTCCGTCTGTGTCTTATCCCATGATTGATCTCTCAGAAGCAGCTCCTACTGGACCCTTTCAAGCACCACCCCCTGCAATATGTGTACAAGCACCATCTCCTGCTGGACAGTCTCAAGCACCAGCCCCTGCAATATGTGTACAAGCGCCATCTCCTGCTGGACCCTCTCAGGCACCAGCCCCTGCAATATGTGTGCAAGCACCATCCCCTGCAATAAGTGTACAAGCACCATCTCAGGAGGACATTGAAAATGAATCTGTTGAGCAGACTCTACTTAAGGAACTTGAAGAGATGGGATTCAAGCAGGTTGATTTGAACAAGGAGATCCTGAGGATGAATGAATATGATCTGGAGAAGTCTGTTGACGATCTTTGTGGGGTAGCTGAGTGGGATCCAATTCTTGAGGAGCTGCAGGAAATGGTAAACTGCCTGCAGAAATCATCTCTTTCGTTTCCTTTTTTGTTTACCTCTTCTTGATTAGTATGTACAACACTGAGCTGACAGTGTTCTGAAATTGGCTGTTGTGTTGTTGTGCGCAGGGTTTCTGTGATGCTGAAATGAACAAGAAGCTGCTGAAGAAGAACAATGGGAGCATCAAGGGAGTTGTCATGGATCTCCTCACTGGTGAAAGGGCTTAAATGAAGGATAATGGTGCTTTCTTAGGGATATGCTATACATAAATAAAATCAAGAGTGCTCCCAAACCTTCTCAAGTAGCTGCTTTTAGTTTTCCAGGGGTGTTTAAGTTCTATAGTATATAGGCCCAGAGGGGCTGTTAACATTTTGCTATTATTGTATGAAACTTATAATTATCTTTATTCTATAAATATTTTACACCCCTCTTTCTTGAAAAAATAAAAAAAAATGGTTCTTTCCTAGCAATCTTTAGAATTTACAATAATATTAAAATCAGAGTATTCAGTGCATAATTATAGTTTTCTTACTGTTTGGTGAATGGTACATTACATATATACTCAGCAAAAGGTATCTTTTCTTCTTTTCTACCCCCTAAGACAGCAAAATGACCAAACAAAAGCTTCAGCATTTATCTTATAAAGCAAGGAATAATGATGGTCCATTTTCGCTAGGAATTATGGTAGATAGAAACCTCAATTAAAATTAGTAGCAAGTGATATGCACATATTCTCCTCTTCCTTTGCTTATTGAGTTTTGAGTTAAACAAAAGCTTTATAGTCATTGTAAATGTATTAATTTTGATGTATTTTATATTAAAATTTGAAAAAAAAAGTTTATATTATAGATATTTAATTTTTTTATGCGAAAAAAATAAAAATATAAGAAATAAATTTATAATGTAGAAAATATAATGGTATTGTGTGTCTAGAAAATGGAAAAAATATCTTCATTTTGAAAAAAAGAAGATAAGTATAAGCTATGATTTTATCTTCACCAAATATACATATATGTACTAATTATCTTTGAAATCACATTATTTTTAATTTAATATGATGGTGCCAATATTACTTTTCCATAAATTCCTTTTGAATCCATAATAATGTCAGTAATAATTTTTAGAAGCAAAAAGTAATAAAGAGGAGAGGTTGATTAGTAATAGGAGTAGTATTTGTTTCTAAGAAAAAGAGAGGGCAGCTAACCATGGACAACAAAGTCAATATGCCCCAAAGAAAAAGCTACACCTTCTTGGGCTTTAGCTTGAACACCAGAAGTAGAGTGAAATACAAGTAGAAGGAAGGAAGGGAGGAAGGCATTAGCCAGTCCAGGCATTTCTTATTTAATGGGGGGTTGTCCCCATGTTTGACAAGATCAGTTTCCATGTGCTTTTGATTAGTTTATGGCTCCCACTTCCTTTATTACAATATTTCACAAATCGTTCTCTCTTTCTTCTTTTCTCTATTGAGCACACACTCAATCCTCTCCCATGATTCTGTCTCTAGATCAACACTGTTAACTGTTAAGCCCTTGTTCCCTGAAAAGATTTAAATAAACTCAAATTCCCCCATCTCCCCATTTGTTTACTTAATCATAATTTAAAGCTCTCTAATGATTCTTATGATGCAAAACTAGGAAAAAAAAAAAAGACCCAGAAAGGAAAAGAAAAGTTTTGATGAAGATTTGATCTTGTTCTCCTTCTCTTTTCCCCATGAATTTTCAAGACATTTACTTTGCACTTTCAACTTTTCTTTCTGTCCTTCTTTCTTTCTTTCCTTCCTTCCTTTATTTCCTGTTGTGTGTGTGTGCGTCTCTCTCTCAATCTGTTTCCCTCTCTCTTCAACTACGGTACACTACACGTGGGGTTCCTTTCTTTTGCCTCCTTCAGGACATCTAAGCCATTAAACTTGTGAAAGTTTGATTTTTTAGGAGTGGTTTTATCAAAAACACCACACATGAAAAATTTACACCAGAGCATGTCTTGTGTAGCTTCTTCTCTCTCTATTTCATATTGTCAGCTTATCCATGTAATGTGTCTGTGGTGAATGAGCCTTCAAAAAGCTTTCCTTTCTTTGAGTTTGTGGTGTATGTTTTTTTTTTTTTACTAATTAATAAAAGGATAAACTTTTCTAATGATTACTTACTAGATATAGATATTTGAGCTCTTTCCTGTTTTAGAATTATGGAATCTGGGAGTAGGTTTTACTCGGCTGATGAGTTCAAATTGGATGCTAAATGGTCGATTGATCCAAAGCATCTTTTTGTTGGTCCAAGAATTGGAGAAGGAGCTCATGCCAAAGTGTATGAGGGAAAGTAAGTTTGCAATTTTTTTCTCTTTTTCTGGTTCTTGGATTACTTGGTTTGGCTATTTCTGGGCAATGCCTTCACTATGGTTTGCAACTTCTTCTTTGTACTCTCCCTTTGGCAAATTCAGTTCCTCACCATAATTTTGTTCTTTGTTTGTCTCAAAATTCAGCAATTGGGAATTATTAATCTTTCTGATTTATTTGTGGGTTTTTAGTTTAGCTGTTGTTCTACTCATTCTTGTCTGAATTATGCTATCTTCTTTCCTCATTTTGGCTGAAACTTTAATTTGTTTGTCAAACGGAAAATTGGAACTCCTTATTCTTCCTGTAAATAGTTAGAATTTCATTTAATTATATTTAGTTGTAACTGCTAAAGCTGGCTTGAGATCTTAAACCTGATTTGAGTCTGTTTTATCTGGAATTGGATTTTAATATTGTGTTTCTTTTTTTTCCCCCTTTTTGGGTTTTATGGGATGCCTTGCAGGTATAGAAACCAGACTGTTGCAATTAAAATACTTCATAAAGGAGAAACTCCTGAGGAGATAACCAAGAGAGAAGGACGGTTTGCAAGAGAGGTTGCGATGCTGTCTAGAGTTCAGCATAAAAATCTAGTGAAGGTTGACTTGCATCTAGTCCTCTTAGGATTGTCACCTTGCTATTGGTACATCATTGTACTTCCAATCATATATAATTTCACTCAATTTTAACTGTGAATGATGAACCCTTGTGTTGAACAGTTTATTGGTGCCTGCAAGGAGCCTGTAATGGTTATAGTTACTGAGCTTCTTTTGGGGGGAACCCTACGAAAGTATTTGCTGAACATGCGGCCTAGGTGCTTAGACATGCGAATTGCTATTGGTTTTGCACTTGATATTGCTCGTGCTATGGAGTGCTTGCATTCTCATGGGATCATCCACCGTGATCTGAAGCCTGGTAATCTTCTCATTCCACACTCACGTTTTTGTGTTTTGAAAGTTGATTAGATGGATAACATCTGCATTTTGCAATATGGAGACATACACCATTTTGAATGCGAGGGAACATCAGGTAATTGAATCAGTTGCTTGACTGGTGGTGACTATTGAAATCTTTCATCTCTAAAAACTATGAAGGGATGCAAGAAGGGTAGGTAATTAATGCTACATGTTTGTGTTCATCTGTTAGATATGTGATTTAATGGAGGATATTAAAGGGGAAGGGAAGACTAAAGAAGATGTGAGGAACATATTAAACTGCTGTTCAGGCTTCAGAATGATAAGATGGTTTAGAGGGCATACGGACTACCAAGTTTTTTATTGCATGTAATCCTGATGCAGTTGTTTGGTGACAGGACACCTATAAAAGCCCCTATAGTATTGTCATTAGTAAAAAGCAATTGCATCCAATAAATTTGAAGAAAATGCCATGGGACTGGCTTCCAATTGACACCCGTTGGAATCTCTTCCAAATATTGAGTTCACTTGTTCTGTCGAAGATCACTACAGTAGGTTTCAAACATTACTTTTAAGGCTATCAAGCTGGAGTATGATTGTTTTTGTTTATGAAACTAGGGCATCTGGTTTTCTTGTCCGGCTGTATGTGTCTTCTTTCCTGTTGCTTTGCTTTACCTGTATAATGCCTACTATTAATATAATAACATTTGACTTAAGAGAAAATTAGCTGTGTGAGTTTTCTTTTATTTGTTGCAACTTGCATTAATCTTGCTTAACTAGAAGTTAGGCTCATCCACCTTTACTGCCCCTTCCAACAGGCTGGAAAATAGAGAACTTCATTTTTGTGTGCTATGCAAATGATTCAGCATAGCACTGGGAGGGCATGATTTTGACATTTAAGCATACACAATTACATGTCAGCTTGAATATTCACCATATCTGGATGTTCTCTCTGCAGAAAACTTGCTTTTGACAGCAGACCATAAAACGGTTAAACTAGCAGATTTTGGCTTAGCTAGAGAGGAGTCATTGACAGAGATGATGACTGCTGAAACGGGAACATACCGCTGGATGGCTCCAGAGGTACTTAACTTTTCATTTTTAGTTTGTTCTTCAATCCTTTTCTACCAAACCACTAATTACTGCATGGTTGCATGGCTAAATTATGGCAGTTGTACAGTACTGTCACATTAAGGCTGGGAGAAAAGAAGCATTACAACCACAAAGTGGATGCCTACAGCTTTGCGATTGTGCTGTGGGAGCTTTTGCACAACAAATTGCCGTTTGAAGGCATGTCAAATCTTCAGGCAGCATATGCAGCGGCTTTTAAGGTAATACTCTCATATAATATTTCCTTCTTATTATTGATTAAAGTAGATGTGATCGTAAGCTTTTCTAATATTGTTAAATGTAGCTGACGTTTTGGGATGTTTTGCTATGCAGAATGTGAGGCCTAGTGCTGAAAACCTGCCAGAGGAATTGGCCATCATTCTAACATCATGTTGGAAGGAAGACCCAAATACCCGTCCTAATTTCAGTCAAATAATCCAGATGCTCCTAAATTATCTTTCTAGTATTTGTCCTCCTGAACCAGCTATTCCTCCTCGGATTTTTGCTTCAGAGAATGCCATATTGCCACCAGAATCTCCAGGTACAAGCTCTTTGATGGGAGTGCGTGATGACTCTGGGGAAACCCCCAAAGCAAATATGGTAAAAGAGCGGAGAAGTTTCTTCTTCTGCTTTGATCAATGCTTGTTAGTCCTTAGAGATAGAAGAAATGACAGATACTTTTGTCCTAGTGGGAATCAAAAGAAGCTGAAGAGGGCTCAGAAAACAATAGGGCCCTCTTGCCTGACAAGTACACCCTGATAGCATGAACAATATTTTTTTAGATTAATAAATTACATTTTTAAGTGAAAGTCCAATTCAGTTGGATGAAATTCCAACAATATCCATCTGATGTTGCTATCATTTTCCTCTGAGTGCTCATAGTTCATAGTCGGCTTATGTCTTCAGCGACTAAAATATGGGAATTGGTCAGTTGGGGGGGGGGGGATTCATTTCTTGTTTAATGATAAGATGTAGAAATTTCAACTTTAGTTCCTTGAGGAAAGGGGAGAAACAGATTCTGTTTGATTTGTTCAATGAAGTGTTAATCACTCTACAAGAAAGCAACAGCACCTCAGAAGTCAGAACCCTTTCTGCCAATCTTTTTCCGCTAATCAAGGTAGAAATGCAAGCACTAGTCCACCTCCCTTCTTTTGCATTCTTGTAGGCACTTAACTATCAGTATGACTATTGCTTTAACAAACTGTCAAGTAAAGAAATACCAGTCTCACCTTGGAGATTGGTTTGATTTTTCATTGGAGTGAAAACTTATTTCTGAGTCTTTTTTCCTGGAAAACTTTCCATGGCACTGGAACTCATTTTCATACAAGGAGTTCTATCAAAAATGGAGAAAACTTCTAGTGCAAAACAGAGAGTATTGACCCTGAATTTGATAGAGTAATTACTTCACCATCATGATGTTATAAACCACAGGAAGGGTTTTCCTATAAATTGACAGAAGAAATTAAAATTTAAAATCTACCGACATGATTATCAAAACCGACTTTTTCTCAATGTCCATAAAAATCGCTTGGAATAGAATTCAAACTTCTCTAAACAATTTCACTCTTTTAAGGTATAATTGTCACGGATTGTTATTCTTTTTCAAAAACACTAGATTAAAATGTAATGCGCAGGCTTATAAATTTTTCAAGATTACCTTATTTACTCGTGTGAGATTGAATGATTCTGTTTATTTACCTTAAAACGTTTGACCCGCCATCACAGTCCTTATTCTTTTTCAAATCGTGGGCACTGCCATAAAATTTTCGCATCCCATTAGAATCATGGACAATCTCTGCAACAGGACACCAGTTTTGGGCTGAGATCTTTGGTGGTTTTGGATAGGTGCGAGAGAAGGTTCTTGGGCTTTTTCCAGGGTTAATGGTAGTTATGGCAGTTATAGTTCTGGCGGGAGAAAGGGACAGTGCTGGGATTGAAGTTTGGATAGGCAATGGAATCAACAAACCAGCTCACTAAAGATGTTCCCGATTGAGAAGACAATGTCCCAGCTGCCATCTGCAGAGTTTTCCAGTGAAACAGTTCCAAGAATACATGCGAGTTAATTTTCATTTTTTAATGCTAATTAACATTCTGCAACTGTTTTGTTTGAAAGATACTTGGAGGGTTGGGGTGAAATGATATTGACAGCCATTATAGATTTCTGATCTTTTCAGGCAAAATTCCTGAGGATCTGCTTTCCAGGGTATTATAGTTTGGGCTCTGACGACTGTATTTCTTTGTCCAGCCAGTTGAGCACCCAAAAAGTTTGAGCAGTTCACTATCCTGGAGAAAAAATCTGATATTCCTAGATTAATAATGCAGCAGGGGCATGGTATCAAACTTTGAAGAGATCCTTCGAGCATTCCCTTTTTGTTATCAGTATTTTATTCCTCTCTGCATGTAGTTGAATTAAACTGAACCTGAGTATATTTTGATATGGCATTATGATAGAGAGAACCAGATGCAATCTTATCATTTACGAATAAAGGAAAATTCTCTGCCTATAAATGGGCAAGCTTCCATTACAGGCTTAGTTATAGCTGTGAAGGGAGTAGTAGATACAACAATGAGAAGAAGCGCCGGCTACACTCCCAGACAGAATTCTGGATGGGACACCACGTCCCAGGACTACCGTGCCCATCTTGCCAGAATGGAAAGACTGCCCACCATCATCCCTGGTGCATCTCAGTACCCCACTGTCCACAAGGCCTTTAACAACAAGTACAGCTCTGAGGAAGAGGTTGTTGAGTTTAAGGAAGAACATCACCAAAAGCAGCGGTCCCCAAAGTCTGAAAAGAAGGTTCAGGTGGTTGAGCATGTAGAAACCATTGAGGAAACGAGGGATGGGAACCGTGAGGATTATGAAGAAACCACCGTTGATGTGGAAGCTGGTGGCTACATCCAGCAGAAGCACAAGGCGTTTGAACTGTGCAAATGGAAGACCTTCAAAGTGCACTAGACTTTGGGAGCATGTTAATCATGATTAAATGACAGGCCAGGTAACCATAGATAGTATTGCTGATGCAGTTACTTAAATAAACGGCCTGTCTAATTAGGCTTGAAGTGCTACCAAAACCCCGTGTGTTCCCTCTTATTTTCTCTTTAATGAAGCTTTAAAGTTGGTTGCTTAGCAGATAGCTCTTGTGTCTGCCCTGATGTATTTGTTGTTATTGATAATTATGAATACTATATAAACCTTGCAGGACCAATAACAGCTCTCTAATCAAGTTGCTTTTCTCTACCTGCCCCATCGCCAGTCTTCTAGCTAATTGAATAGCTCACATACATAGCACCCCTGCCAGTTGAAGTAATCAAACACTTAAAATTTGACCCAATTGAAGCAATGTTCTAGAGGTGAATGGAGGCGAGGGTTTGAAACTTTGGCAGTTGATATCCCATTCTAGTTGCGATACTAGACTTAAAAATCCTCTGCACTCTGGAGCAACCCAGGAAATATCGTACCTGAAACCTTTTTCAGAGATAGGCCTACAAGTTAGGTGGTTCCAGGGATCAATAGTGGCTCACAACACTAGAAAAATTAAAAATTAAGGTATCAGTTAGTTCCTCATGAACCTTAAGATTGCACCAGATGAATATTAAAATCAAGTCGAGCCATTAAAAATTCATATCCATTAACACAATACGGGCATCGCCAGCAGCCAACCTATAGCAGTTGAATGAAAGCAGGCTTTTTGCCAAATAGTATTGAATATCTTTCTCTGTCTGGACCGTGATCGAGATGCTGATCTTGATCTTTTCAACTGCTATTTAACTCTAAACTATGTTGCCAAGGCAAAAGATTCCGTCCAAGTAGCTAATTAGTATTCCTGCAAGCCTGCAATAATGTTATGGTAAAGATGTAAAGTGCCTTGAGATCATAGCAGAGAATATCCCAAGGGAGTAGGGACAGGGCCATTTTATATGTAAATTGGAACTTTTCAAGATCCGATCCACTTGCTGGCTTGTTATTCCTACTGAAGATCAGAAAAATTGTAAAGAAAACAACAGAGTTATGTCATAAATAGGTCTTTATGAGCAGTAGCATAGAGTACTGCAAAAGAAGCAACTGGTGAAGTGAATGAAGAAAATTTATGTAAGGAAGACATCAAATTGGTTTAGCTTTACAATATTGGTTGAGATGAAAGATGATTGGCAAGTTTTACACTATGAGAAGAAATAACTGATTGCATCTCCATAAGTCCTGACCAGGAAGAGTCCTAGCTTTGCAGAGAACATGTTTCAGCAAATGCACAGAAATCAATGGATGCAAAAAGAGGAAGGATAACCTTCAAAACAGGTTGCTGTTGATATCACGCTAAAAAGAGCTACCATCTCCATGTTTACAGTTGCAGGAGGAAAAACTGCTGTGTGTTGAGCTGACAATCCAGTTCACAATTTTCACACAAACCCAAAGGCTAATAAAACTAAAAAACAGATCAAAACCCATTCCTATTTTCACGAGGAATATCAGCTTCATTGAATCTCCTCGAGGTCACCCACTTGAACAAATTCCTAAGGCCATTCTTACTCTCCTTGTGCTTCCTTTGAGCTCTACTCATATCTTCTAACCCTGTGAAAGGGTCATCAAAAACCAGGCCGGTCTCTAGCTTTTTGGCCACCGTGACAATCTCATATGAATCCCACAGTGACTGCCGGAAGTCCCAACATGGGGTAGCAACATTGTCCTTGACAGACGATGGCCTGCTCATTGCTTCAAGCTTGAACCTAGAAGGCTTGCCTTTGAAATTTCGCCTGTAGGCATCGTATTCATTGGTTTGCCTGGTGCACCCGGAGTGACTGTGCCAGGCTTGTGCCACTGCTTTGATGATTTCAAGGTCCTTGACACCATCATCTTCAACCTCTAGCTTTTTCTTCATGCTTCCTTTTTGGCATTGTCAAGGAAAGTCATGTAGGGGCCATACAGTTTATCTTAGGTAAATTACAACCTCACGTTGTTGTTGATGTGAAGTGACATGAGCCGTTGGAACGCATACCTTTGTTGTAGTACTGTAATTGACAATATTGACAATATCGGCAATTTACCTGCAGCCTCAAGCATTGGCACGTGGGTAGGGATTGGTGGGTCTAACCCTTAATTATGTTAGTTTGATTAAATAAATTCGATTTTATACTTTTATTTGATATTGAATAAATTTTTATGATTAATGATTGATTAATTATCATCAATTATTTTATATCTCGTGATACTGATGTGTTGTTAATATATAAAGTGAAATGTTATATGATCATGTCATCATACTATACCATCATCTATTATAATATGTTAATATATTACATCAGTATCATATATTATAAAACAATAAAATAAAACGCTACATTATCATATCATTTATTATAATGTGTCAACATATGTTATCAATTATTTTATGCCTCGAGGTACTGACCAGGTGTTGATGTATAAGGTGAAATGCTACATGACCATATCATCATACCACAATATCATCTATTATAATGTGTCAACATATTATATTAATGTCATGTAATATAAAATAATAAGATGAAATGCTACATAATCATGTCATTTATTATAATATATCAACATATGTCATTAATCATTTTATATCTCGTGGTACAGACGTCGTGTTGATGTATAAGGTGAAATACTATATGACCATGTCATCATCTATTATAATGTGTCAACATGTTACGTTAGTGTCACGTAATATAAAATAATAAGGTGAAATGATCACGTCATCTAGTATAATGTGTCAACATGTGTGATCAATCATTTTATGCCTTGTGGTACTGACGTGGTGTTGATGTAAGATGAAATATCACATTGCCATATCATCATATCACGTTATCATCTATTATAATGTATCAACATGTTACGTCAATGTCACGTGATATAAAACAATAAGTAATATTTTGATTAATAACAGTTAGTCAATGATTAATTATAAGAGCTTGTTTGCTTCAAAATAAAACTATTAGAATTTGATTGAATGTAATAAAAGATTAAAATTTATTTAAATTTTTTTAAATAATTTAAATTTTTTTATATATATTATGCCTTTTTAAAAGTTAATTAAATCAACTTAAAATGAAGTTTTGACCAATTAACTTATTTATTAAATCAAATCGATTAATTTGATTGGTAATCAAATTAATCAAAAATTTTAATTTTATTTTTTAAAGTTAATTATATAATGAATAAAATTAAATTATGAATTTTAATAAACCACAAATTTAATAATATTAAAATGTTCTAATAAACATGATTCAAACTATTAAAATATTTCAACAAATATAAATAAACTCAAACATAAATGAATACTAGTGTGCTTAGGGTTATAAATAGGTTAATTTGATTAGTCAAAAAAATATTTTAAAATCAATACCAATCGAATTAATTGATTTCATCGATCTCATTTCAGAATTAATCAAACCATCGAATTATTTAAATCATCTTAATCAAATTTATTCAATTAATTTGGTGAATTCAGTTTTTATTGTAAATTTCTCAAAATATTTAATAATTATATTTTTTAAATTTTTTATTTATTGTAACTTTAAATGTGTGTGTCAATGTTCTTGTAATAATATTTTTTCTGGAGTGAATGTTTGTGTAATTATATTTGTAAACGATAATAATGTAATTGATAAACAAAATAATAAATAATTATAAAAAAACACATAATTCATAATGTAGTTAGTTTAATATTTAAATTATCAGAAAAATATATTAATTCAAATATATCAATAGAGTAAAAAAAAATAAGAGATATGATTCGAAAATGATCCAATATAAAACTTTTTAAAAATTATTTTCTTACAAAAAAGGAAAGGAAATTATTTAAAAAAATTATCTTTTTACCAAAAAAAAATGGAGGGAGGAAAAAAGCAAAAAAACACCTTCCACGTGTTAGCATATAATTGGGTGAGTCGCATCCCCAAGCCGAAGTCCCGCAGCACAGGAATTGAAAAACCTTATTCGACATTTTCCCGCCCATTTTCAAATAAAAATCCATTGGTTTCACCTATCTAGGGTTTCTTTCTTTCTGGTTTACCTCTCAAAAACATGATTTTCAGATCCTCTGCAATGCGATCCGCGGTATAATCCGTAATCCCTCAAATCCCCAAAACCAAAAGATGAGCTCTCCCATGGAGATTTCAGTTCCAAACCCCGCAGACGTCAAGATCTCTGAACAAAACGGCGTTGCCCCGTCACCACCTCCGGCATCGCCTTCTCCTATTGTTCCCCATGACAAATTTCACGTTTCCGGTAATTCCTCAATGTATACTCTCTTTTCACAAATTTGAATTTTGCTTTGGTTTGATTTATGTTTGTATCCATACTTTTGTTGTCAGTTGAAGTTTGCTTAAAACCTTCAAGCACAGCTCGGCCAGACGATGTCCGGAAAGCCGTTGAACAGTAAGAAGTTAAAAAGATTTTGATTTATTACTTTATGGTAAAAAAAATCTTTGACCGACTGATGGTTGATGTTTCACTGTTTTGTTGAAAAATTATGCTAATTTATAAGCTTTGAAAGAAATTAGGGTTTATTGGATTTGGGGTTTTTTAAATGAGAGGTTGAAATCAACTGTTTTGCTTTGCAACTAGAATGCTTGAAAAGAGGAGTCTCAGCTACGTTGATGGTCCTGTACCTGTTCCTATTGATGATCCATTTCTCATGGAAAATGTACGAAGAATCCGTATTTGTGACACAGGTATGTTTTTCGTTTGGAGTCTTTGGTGAAAGTGAGACCTGAGAAAAATAATGACTCTTAAGTTTTTGACAGCTTAGAGTGTGAAATTGAGGCATTTAGCTTGATTGAGTATCTCATTTTAGTTGATGAGTTCTATTATTTACTGTACGGAGAGTGAGGGTTTGCAATTTACTCATCTTGTTTGAATTGTTGATTGTGTAGATGAATGGGTGAAAAACCATGATATTCTTTTGTTCTGGCAAGTCAAACCTGTTGTTCATGTCTTTCAGGTACCATGCTATTCTGATTTTATTTAGTAAGGTTTGCAGATTTTATGATTTTTTCTTTTTTTTTTTTTTGGTGCATTTTCCTCCACAACCATGCCTTAGTAAATGGCCTCTGCAGTCTACATTGTGTTTGAAATGTTATCCAATTTCAAGTGAAAGAGCCATATGAGGTTGTAACTATAGGATGTTGATGCAGTATTTGCTTGGCTTGCAGAAATTGAAAATGTGTGGTCAGTTTTCCAATTTATACTTATTTTATATTGTTTGTTTAAATTTGAATGGATACCATTGTTGGCTTGTCAGCTTAGTGAGGAAGGGCCATGTGAGGAATTGAGTGGGGATGGCCAGTTGTCCAGCTTCAATGAATGGATCCTTCCAGCTAAGGAATTTGATGGCATGTGGGAAAGGTTTGTCTGCAACTGCCATCTTTTCTTGTAAGTTTGAAATTAGTTTCGATTTTGATGCTGGAATTTTCTTTTGTAGCTTAATCTATGAATCTGGCCTTAAGCAGCGGTTATTGCGGTATGCTGCCAGTGCATTACTTTTTACTGAAAAAGGTGTTGATCCTTTCCTAGTGTCATGGAACCGGTATGGAACCTTCTCATGACTTTCAAGGAAGAAAGCACTAGTATCTCAGATATTTGTGGCATTCTTACTTACTGTGTGATGTCCACTTTGATGTGGTTCTATAATCTTGAAGGTGCAAAGCTCTGTGTAGAGCATAGACAAATCTACATGCACACACATGCTTACTTTCCTACTTTTCAAAATCTTCTTCATGCAATTTGACAATTCCCCTGTTGCACCTGGATTCCCTATGACTGATTGCCCCAAGGGCAAATTCTTTAAACTATCTGAGATGAAGCAAGGCTTCATGTGGTGTATTCGTAACTGGCTTTTTTTTTTTGGTATTTTCTTTAATTTTCTCTTAGTCATCTAGATAATAGGAAATGTCAGTTGATTACAAGCATTGATAATAATTGCTATGTCCCAAAACGGATTGATGTTTTTAATATGTTTTGCAGCATTATTCTTTTACATGGACCACCAGGTACAGGAAAGACATCTTTATGTAAAGCGCTGGCACAAAAACTATCCATTAGATTCAGCTCCAGGTTTCGTTAATTTCATTGACTGATGAATTCAGACTTAATAGCATGTCAGATGACTGGTTCTAGCCTAATTTTGTTTTGCGGATTGCTCTTCTGTAATCAGGTACCCACAGTGCCAATTGGTTGAAGTTAATGCACATTCTTTGTTTAGTAAATGGTTCTCTGAGAGCGGCAAGTTGGTATGCTCCTGTGCCAGTTGGTTGCTTTTGACAGAAATACTGTAGAGTCCTGGATGTTAGGTGTTTGGTGATTACGTTCTTAACTCTGGTATATTTTAAACCTTAGGTTGCAAAGCTTTTCCAAAAAATTCAAGACATGGTAGAGGAAGAAAGCAATCTGGTATTTGTTTTAATTGGTGAGCCTTTTATTACAGAAGTTGGCTTTCGATTTTAAATATTTCCAGTCTTTCTATCTTATGATTCTTTAGATTTGATGATGATGCTGCAGATGAAGTTGAAAGCCTCGCTGCTGCTAGGAAGGCTGCTTTGTCTGGTTCCGAGCCTTCAGATTCCATTCGGGTATAAGACTAATTTTTAATTTCTTTCTTAAATGCACATCTTTATGTGATTGAGTATACCTCTCTCATTTTTATACCCTAAATCAACTTCAAAAAACATGTACTCAGGTTGTAAATGCGCTATTAACTCAGATGGATAAGCTTAAATCATCTCCCAATGTGATCGTTTTGACTACGTCCAATATAACCGCTGCTATTGGTAAGCCAATGACCCATTTCAGATTGGGTGGTAATTTGTCATTATTCTGTACTGGATTGGTATTCTGAGTTTTCAAACTGTTAGGAACCTTGATCAGATATTCTCTTGCGATGGAATATAAAGATTAGACAGGAGAAATATCCACACTGTTGGAATATAAAGATTTACTGATTGTATTGCAGATATTGCATTTGTTGACCGAGCAGATATCAAAGCATACATTGGCCCTCCAACTCTTCAAGCTCGTTATGAAATTTTAAAGTCCTGCTTGAATGAACTTATTCGGACAGGAATCATATCAAGTTCCCAGGTAAGAATGTTTCTCTTACAGAGACAATAGTGCTTGATGCTGCCAAATTTTCGTCTCATCCACTTAATGCCCAAATTTGTCAAATTTGAATCTCTCTAGGACTCTAGCCAATCCATCCTTCCAGATTATGTTACTTTGAAAGAGAAACTGAGTATGCCTGAGATTCAGGAGGTTCAAACAACTCTTCACCTATGGAAACAATTACTAGAGGCTGCAGAAGCATGTGAGGTTGGGAACAGAACCCTTGAATGCATACATATTGAATCTGGCAACTGCATTACAAATGACCAAAGGGAAATAAACTTTCTGACGTTTGGGTATTAACTTGATTTTCTCTGTGGTTTCTTTATAGGGATTGAGCGGAAGATCACTAAGAAAACTTCCATTTTTGGCTCATGCGGCCCTCAACAACCCATATTGTTGTGACCTTAGTAAGTTCTTGCACACAATGATAGAAACAGCCAGGAGGGAGTGTTCTGAGCTACCCGACTGAACTAACGAGGTTTTTCTATGTGTATGATGGACGCTTTTGAAGCATAATATGTCAAAAATGCTTAAATCTTTAGCAATATCTACTCGTGTCTCTGTATATAAAGATGTAGAATCAACACAAGCTGCTTAGTAATATCTGGTGAAAAACATGGATTCCTTTCTTGAGCAAAACTAGTTTCATTTTTGCTTGCAAGAAAAGTTCTAAAAGGAAAGTATACTAGCAAAATAGTTATTACAACCGCAGACTGCTAATGGTTACCTGTCATCCCATTTGAAATGTTAGATTAACATGTTTGACACATCTGTAATAAAACCAGAAAACTGTTAGAAGGGCACTAGATTTGTTTAACAACTCTATGCATTATATTTGAATTAAAGCTGCCTAAAGTAATGTTTCACAGAATAAATATACCCTTGCCTCCTGTCCTTACAAGAAAAAAGAAATATCGATGTCAAAATCACCTAAGGAATCCAACTCCCACCGGCCACCACACTGTCTCCAAACCACCAACGCAACACTGCCATTGATCGCAACTTTGAAAAGAAAACTAAAAGAACTAAATGTTAAAAATGAACATCAAGTCTCAACAAATCCTTGACCAACTAAAATAACGGCAGCTGAACTTTATCGAACCACTGAAGAAACTGCACAACCAAATTTAACCAGACACCAATAGTTAAGATGAACACTGCAAAACCTTGCAAAAACTTACAACTTGTCAAGCTGAACTTCCCCAAATAAAATTCATGAAACATTTTTTTTCGGAAAAATAATATAAGAAGCTACATAATACCAAAAAAAAAATCCTAGTGAGCAGAAATTGCTCATTGCATCTGTAAAGATTCTAGTTTGAGCTGATTCTCATTATTAAAAAAATCAAGTAGTAGATTTGGTACCAAAGAGTTCAGAGATTTTAGGATGTTTACGAACATGATGAGGGCACTTATGTAGTAGATCTTGGGCCTCAGAATGTCTACCTTCCTCAAAAAATGATTTAAGAACATGAAGGTAAGCTCCAATGGTTGGATATTCATTCACACTCAATGCTTTCAGGAATTCTATAGCATCATTCACAGTCCCAAACTTTGAAAGATATTGAATGAAAGGCTCGGGATAAGGTGGGTAGTTTTGTTTCTTCATCAACTTAAGAAGGTTCATTGATTCTTCAAGTTTTCCTTTCCCCAGAAGCTTCTCAATAAGATTTTTAAATGTTGCTTGCCAAGGTCTTAGATGAACTATATTTACCATCTCCACAAGCAATTTGTATGCACCATCTATTCTATTCTGACCAATGAAACCATTTACTAAGACGTCCAACAAGTCAGCATCAGCATCACAGGTTTTCTGCATCTTTGCAAAACACATCAATGCATTATCAATTTGATTAGCATCACAATGACCTTGAATCAAAATAGTCCACGTCTTGATATCTGGAGTACATCCATGTGCTTCCATTTCATCCAACACTTTGCAGGCTTCTTCAAGTCTTCTTGCTTTACAAAGTCCAAAGACCAGTTGGCTGTACGTAATATTATCAGGTTCACACCCAGCATTTCTCATAGCCTTCATAATGTTCTCTGCTTCATCAAACCGACCCACCCCAGTTAAAGAGCGATGAATCCCATCATAGATAGCCTTAGAAAGTGCATGTCCGGCGGCCTCATATTTATTCACAACCCTAAACACCAAATTCAAATCTTGTGTATCACCACCAGAAATGCGTCTTAAAAGCAAGCTGCAATCTTGAGCTGTAGGCTGGTACGGGCCGTCCATCATGATTTCGTAAAGTTTCACTGCATCCTCCAACATCTTGATCTTCTGAAAATGCCTCGAAACCTTAATATAAGTATCAATATCCATCTCAAATCCTTCACCCTTCAGCTCATCAACAACACTCCAGAACTCCCCAGTAGAATCATGCCTTGCAAGAACCCTCAAAAGAGCATTATAAGTAACGGTGTTATGCTTATAACTCGAACACTTACCAGCCCAATGGAAAAACTTCAAACCTTTTCTAGGGTAACTTCGAAGTTCCTTCAACACTCTTATAACTAAATTATCAGATAAAACAATTGCCATATCATCCAATTGTTTCTCAATCTCATTACTCCATTCATTCCCCAAAACAACATCAGCTACCTCTTTCACAATGCTATCCTTAGCATTCTCTTCAACCATCCTCTTATAGAAATGGGTTAAAGCCACAACATCAGTATTCATCTTATTTTTTTTAAATAATGAATGAATCGTATAATAAGTTTCCTCGTCAAGATAAAAACCTTGGTCCTTCATCTCCCTTAAAGTTATCCAAAACTCTTTCATTGTATCCTTACTAGCCAAAATCCTAAGCATAAAGCTATAAACACAAGAATTGGGATTAAACCCATTTTCTTCACGTGCCCAGTTGAAGAAATTCGACGCCTTTTTCGGGTCTTTATCGAGTTTCTTCAAAACATAGATGACAGTCTCATGAGTCAATGCCGACTTAAACTTCTCTAACTCGGTCTCTAACTCATCAGACCAGTCGTTGGTCACTATGAGTTGGACCAGTGAGCTGGGTTTGGAAGAGAAGTGAAGCTTTTGACGGCTGCTCAGTAAATGAGAAGAGTGTGGTTGAGATGAGAGATGTGAAGAGAAGCGGGAGAAGTGCGTCACCTGAGTGGAGAAGGAACGAGCTGAGCTGACCCGGGTGGAGTGAAGCGAGTTCGCGAGTCTGAAGGAGGCGAGGATTGCCTTGGAACGATTCATGGTTGCTCTTTGGAGTTTGAACATAGAAGTCTGACAGACAACAATGGGAATTGGGGAGGGGATTTCAAGGGTTTAAGGCTCCGGTTTTCCCCGGTCGAACCCGGTCTACAGAATTTGGGTTAAGCCTTGCCCACGTATATTGCCAATGAAATGTTCAAGCCCTGTTTTCATATTTCAACGATTTTTATACTACAACTATATAAGTTTAAATTTTGATTTAAAATATATTAAATAAATTATGTACCAGATATTAAATTCTCTTATTAAACGATTTTCAAGATGTAATTGAACCAATATGTTGTTAAACAATTCATGAATAAATTCAGTTAATTTTGTTTACGTAACGAATTGAATACAATTTTAGAAATCAACTAATAAACATACCAAACTTGAACACAATTGTATTTAGTTCATTTATGTTTATAAACAAATTCATTTATTATTAATTTAGAAATTTAAATAGATTAGTATGTTCGTCAAACAACTCACGAATAAGTTCTGTGCTTAGTTTATTTATGTTCATGAATAAATTTATTTGTTATTAATTTTAAAGATGTAAATGTAGTATGTTCGTCAAACAATTCATGAATAAATTTGGGTTAAACTCGTTTACGAATTCGAACAAAATTTTAGAACTCGATTAATAAACTTGCCGAACTCGAACACAAGTATGTTTATTATTCATTAGTAGGCATACTTATGGTTGGCTCAAACAAAGTTTGTTTAAATGTCTAAAGAGACATTTAGCCACCTTTCGCTTTGCCCCTTTCATCTCTTCTTCATTTATCCCTTCTCTCTAATCTCTCATTTTCCCTCAACTTTCTTATCCGTCATCCCTCCACTTCCTCGATTCCCATTCCCTCTACATTTTGAAATCTCTCCTCCTTTCTATCTTTCGTTTTTGTTGATTTTGATTTTAATGACTCGTTTAATGTTCACGAACAAGTTACCCAGATCCAATATATTCGTTTAGTGTGTAATGAATGTGCTTGTTTGCCCTAATCTTGAACTAAACTCAATTCGATCTTTAATTTAATCAAACTTTAATGGAAGCAAGCTCGAACACAAATTTAAAACTCTTTTCTAATTTGAACGATTTTAAATTTAAACAAAATGAAACCAAATAAAAGTAATTTTCAAAATATTTAACTTAGAAAGCTTAGAGAGTGACAAATTAGGATTTGAGTCCAATTCGATTAATAATTAATCAAATGTTACTATGTTATTAATTTATATTAAAAGCAAAAAACCCTGAAAAAAATATTTATAATTTTAAAAATATATATTTGAAAAAAATTTAAACTTTCATTTTTTACACATTTTATAAAGCGACAATTCCGCAATTAGATGGCAAGGTATAAAAGTATACATTAAGGTGTATCAATTTATATATAAAATAAGAAAAATATGATGTAATTACTAGAATATTTACGTAATAACTTTTACTTTAAAGGAATACAAAGATAATTTCCCCAAAAAATATTAGAAAAATTAGAAAATTGAGAACGGCAACAACCCAAAAAGTAAAAGGCAGAGCAAACTTCCTTTTTTGGGTAGATAAAAATTGACCTAATTATTGAGAGCAAGAAGCATCCAAAATGCCACGTCATCTCTTGCCGTACCAAACTCCCCACAACACTCACGCTCTTGAGTGTCTTCCACGCGAAGATTGTTTTCCGAAAAGTGATCTGGACCCACCCAATCAGTTTTATCACTGGCGTGCGTACCCGTACACGTGTCGATCTCCAGTATGTTCTCGAGGCCACTTGGTCCCTGTTAAGTTTCAATCTCTTGAAGGAATTGGTCCGCTAGAGCTTACGCAACGGTACTACCGTGGTCCTTCCTATGTAGGGCGCTTGATCAAAAGAATTGAGTAAATCCAGGTAAGCATGCAAGAGCTAAGATTCCTATTTTGATATAAATGATTATATATATATATAATATAATTCAATGACTTTATTATTATCTTTTATATAAAAAATTATAATTGATAAATAATAATAATTTAAACTCGATACTGTATTAAAAATTGAACTTATAATTAATTACTTAAAAATGTGTCACTTAAAACTTAATTCAAGCAAAAATAATGGGTGAAATTGAATACAAATTTTATAAAAAAATATGTAAACGAAAAGAAATTTAACACTAAGAGAATCTAGTTTTTTTAAAATATATACTAAGCAGTTTAACCCTAAGGTTATCTTAACTTTTTTTTTCTCAAATGAATTTGAATATTTTCTTTTATTTGATTGACAAACTCAATAAACTTGTCAAGCTCTAACACAATTGTATTTAGTTTATTTTATTTTCGTGAATAAATTCATTTATTATTAATTTTAAGAACGTATGCGAACTATACATTCGTTAAACCGCTCATGAATAAGATTCTTAGTTAACCCTAAATGGCATTAATCATGCA